ATAGGTACTGCGGTACAAATATGAATTCGTAACAAAAAATATATAAATATCAAATAGTGAAATATAAGAATATACTATATACATGCAAAATACAGCTTTTCTCACCATGAGCAAGATATTTTCATTTTAAAGCATTCGTTTCTGATCAAGGCAAACTGCAGTCCCACTTCTGATAATTTTTAATGAGAAATTACTTAGACTGGGAAACCCAAACTACATATTCTCACTTTTCAATTATTAATAATTAGTGTTTATTGAAACAAAATGAAAATGGTAGACAGTATCTAGGACCTCTCTAAGAATTCATGCAGAATACTGCACTTGAGTTGAATAATTATATAAAATATGGCAAAAATTTTGTTCGTAAATCAAAATAAGATGCTTACTTCAAAGTTTTTACCAAAACTTCCTGACTAAAACAGTGGGTTCAGAGCTGATTTAAAAATGTTACATTTACCGTGATTCTGTTACTCTCTGTCAAAATCCCCTTAGAAGTCTTCTAGATTTTTCAGAGAGTGATATTGAAGATTATTTTACTATGAATTTTCAACGAAAGACCAAATATATTCATTAAAATATAAACGTCTTACCGTCTTTGTTAGAACGCATTTATTTTGATTCACTGTATAAATTATTTCAAAATCATTTCAACCCTAAGTAGACAATACGTTCCAGTAGAAAAATCACGTGTTTGTATCTACATTTTTCGAGAACAAAATAGCATATAACTTACTTCAAACTAATACTATACTAGTAAAATTACATGATTATGCAAGTAATCTCAAACGAACATGATACATCATCGACTTAATATTACATATTCAGGGAACATTGGTTACTTCACTCATTTTCAATCTCTTATATTTACAAAACTAATAGTAGTGATATCGTTATTATTATCAGGCATTCCAGGTATAAATATCACCCAAAAAATCTGATATTTAGGTGATATTGTACAATTTTTAACTTTCTCCAAGGGAAGAACAATAGTTACCGAGCATATACAGTGTGACCCAGTTCAAGTTGCCACCTTGAAAGAGCAAATTGAAAAACTACAACATGTTTTCAAGAATATAAATGAAAGTGATTACTTTCCGTGACATCCATATAACAAAAAGTGAATTCAAAAAGATTTTTTCCAAGTTACTGCCTGAAATGAATATAATATAATTTTTTTCTGATATTTCATAAAATGCCAGCTTCATGAGAATATACAACAATGATATTTAAATATTTTTATTTCCTTTTTTAGGATCATTGATTGTATAGGAAGTCAGCATAAATGACAACAAGAGAAAGAACATCATAATAACAAACACACAGTACACATAATATAAAATCCGATTGGATCATTTTGAGATGAAAAGGTTAATTAAATAAGAAATGTTTGTCGCTCTTCAAATCTTAATTTCAAATAGTGAATAATTATTTTTTGTGGAGGATATCTGAATTGGTTATTGGACTTCTTTTGAGAGTCTTCATCTAGAACAGAATCTTAAAAAAAATCAAAATTGTATTGGAGAACTTTTTGCAGGTGTAGAAAGGATAAACTTCTACTCCACCCTGATAAACTACTATGTAAATTCAAAATAAATTTTACAAAGAAAATGCGCTCTTTATTAGTAACTTGTCTTATTTGATAATTTTGCCAATAAAAAAAAGCTGAAAAATTCCGAGTCGAAATCTGCCTCTGCCTTCTCAATTTCAAGATTGTAGTTTTCCTACTCAGAATTCTTCTATTTCTTGGTGTAACGGCATCATCCACTGTTGTCATTAGCCTCGTGTTCTGCGTAGATTATATCAATTACTCCTCGCGCCACCTAGCAAACATCTTTATTCGTAGTCCTGTTGGTCATGTAAAAACAAAATTAATCCACCTTCATATACTCGTAGATGGATATTAACAAAGCTTGGAGAAGATATGAAATATATCGAACTTGTTAATTAACTTTTGAAACATTCAATGCAGCACAAGGTGTTTTTTGATATCAGCTATTTGACATTTCTAATAGCTTTTTATAACAGGATCTTATCTGGTTACCCTTCCAAAAAGAAGATCTGAGAAGTGTTAGCATCACAACAGATTGATTTCGATAGTACATCGAATTTTTCAAAAGTCAATCGACAATTTCGATACATTTGAAAACAAGACTGATTTTGAGAGGAAAAACTGCAAGATCTAGTTTTTTTTTTATTCTAGCAGAGGCAGACTTTGATATATGAAACGTAAGATGAGTATAAAATTCTTTTTTTGATATACAAAATCATTGAGTACAAACTACTACATCTTTGTGAAATATATATTGAATGCAGTAAATTATCGGAATGAACTAGAAGTTTAGCCTTTTCACACCTGTATAAAGATCTCCGATACAATTTCATTTTTAAATAATGAAAAAGAAAATTCCCAAGAAGGTCAATGAAAACTAAACTGAGGCACACTGTTATTGCTTACTTTTCATTTGGCTGACACCTCAAAGGTAACATGTATGATATGAACTTGAAAATAGACACCAATATTTACAAACTATAAAATATTCAAACGAAAAAACTTGTTTCAAAGGAAACACAACAAACATGCAAGTTTTGCATTTTCAAAATTGAAAATATTCATCTTCAAGAGCAGTATAATGGTTTGATTAGTTGTAAAAAAACCAAATCATATAATCCTTCATACAAAAACATGGCACTACAATCATGATTGTGAGTACTAATTTTTTCAGAAAAAAAATGCTCAACACCATCATTACTTTTATTATCCATTAAATTTTTTTCTTCATCCCTACAAATACACAGCCCACAAGTCACAGTCACAAATCACCCCTAAAATATTTCAAATTTATGTCCATCCATGCTTAGAAAACAGTGATTGATAAAAGAGATGCAGAACTTTCCTTAATTTTATTTTTTATTGTAATTATCCCCAATAAGAGGTATTTTATAACAGAAGATTATTCCGAGTTACAGAAAAAGTTTGTTTGAACGAAACTTTATAACAAAGTTAATGTAGATTCACTACTTTTCAAGATGAAATGACCATGAAAACAGTTGGAAAATCAACTGTAAATTTCAAGTAATTCACTCTTTAACAAGGGAGTTGATTTTTTATCATCATAAATATTACATTTAGATATTAATTCTGAACAAAAAAAATTCCAACTTTATCACATGAACAATTGGTATATATTAGATTTACTTAAAAAAATTAGCTTCCCCCCTCCCCAAGGCAACTATTTCTTGAAATTTTTTCCTAACTTCTGCTTCAAAACTTATCCGGTTTATTGTTTGTCCCATTCAAGATGAAGTTAACATTCGACACCGAATATTAATGTCTAGAAACGATGAAATCCTTAACCTAAAATTCTAAGATATCAGGAATATTTTTTACTAGGTGGATTTAGAAAGAGATAAGATTAATAATGAATGCCAGTTTGTTCTTCTCTTTCCTAGATGTAGGCCTCACGTTGAATGGCAATTCACTGACAGGAGTCATATCATTAATTATTCGTCCCAGTTTGCTTCAAAACTTATCCGGTTTATTGTTTGTCCCATTCAAGATGAAGTTAACATTTGACACTGAATGTTAATGTCTAGAAACGATGAAATCCTTAACCTAAAATCCTAAGATATCAGAAATATTTTTTACTAGGTGGATTTAGAAAGAGATAAGATTAATAATGAAAGTTTCAACAAATGGACAAACAAAATAACAAAATATATATTTCGATGAGCTTTCAAACAATGTAACCCCCCCATTCACGTGAGCAATCTTTTCTATTTTATCATATTTCAGGAGTACAGAGCATAATTTCCATCTAAATAGCCTTCATTGGCGTTTCAACATTTTTTATGAAAAAAAATCTGTTAATGAAGTTACCTTACAAAAGAATGACTCTTACGATACTGGAAATATTCACTTTTCATTGGTCATTGAAATTTATTCAGCTCCAGTTATTTTTCTTCGGTAAATCCAAATAAATCTTTGTAACACAAGGGTGATAATTCAGTGCATTTCTATTTTTTTTTCTCATGCATGTGCTAAAATTTATTATGCCCAAAAATAAACTGTCCCGATGTAAATTATTCAAATCACGAAGAATGTATTTCAAGTAATTATTTCATTGGAATAAAAATGCTACTGTGCCCTCAAGAAAAAACAGAACATATTTCATTTATTTTTCACATTTGTTGGATATTTCCAGTCAAGGTTGAAATACCTATTATCATCGAATAGGAGAAAACTTTGAAGAAAAGACCTTTCAAGGAATAGCACCATCGTTTTTTCACCAAGCTACTTCTTGAAGTAATATTAATTAAAAAAAAATATTCAAAACAAACAGTTTAAAATAAAATATTATTATTCGATGGTCTGGATGATGAACATAAAAAAAACACTGACACGCTAGGTGCAGGTTCGCATTTTCCCCAATTCTGAAGATTTGAAAATCTTCAATTTTATATTAGTGACATGTTCATCACCATCTAAGCCGCGAACTCAGGTGCAAATAAATCCTAGCATTCAGTGCATACTGACTAGTTTGTGATTAGGATTGCACATTAAAAGATAGGACTCCCTCTTTAGCTTATACAAGTCTCTAGAAAATTCTTGAGGTTTCTTTCACGGGTGTTTGGAACTATTTTGACTGATTTGAGACAATAAACAAAGCCGATAAGCCAACCAAAGAATAGAAGGATATTATTGAAAAAGGACAGTTTTGAGGTCCAAAATAAGGAAATCTGTCAATAATTACTAGTTTTGTTTTGCCAGCTATCGCCCTTCATGAACGACAAACCTAATAAGTTGAAGGTGTGCAAGCTAAGGATCAACAAAGTGTTATCTTTCAACGTGCGATTCCTTGTATTGGAGTGATATTCATTTAGAAAAGAGCTGCAATTCCTGTTTTTTTGGTGACCCACTAGTTATTTTGAATTGATCAAATTCTAAGATTAACACTTGCGGAATTCTGAAAAATTTTCTTGTGCAGCAATATACTATTCACAAGCGACCATTGTAATTTAATAGTAATCACTAGTATCTATCGAAAATTGGATCACGATTGTTTGCTTCACCATTAAATAGAAGGTACATTATTTTCTATGAGTTGTTTAGTCACGGATGAAGTGGGAACTTAAAATATTAATTTCTCGACGAAAAATAGAAATATCCTCTACAAATCTCGATTCACCACAAAAATGCACGATGAGATTTCTTTCCTAGATTTACAATCCGGTAACCTATAAATCATCTGCGATTCCCGTAGAATTTCCTCCAGCTTTCATCTTTTCCAGAATCCTATTCACATGTTCAGTTGTGAATCCGGCAATTCGTACCTCTGGAAAGAGAAAAAATGTTATTTTTACGAATAATTGAAAACAGAAAAAAATCAATTCCAATCTGATTCGAGCCATAAAACTATAGAAAACTTTCATGTGTCAAAAATTTCAATGATTGGAATATTCTACATACTGTGGAAAAAATTCATGTTTTCAAAGTCATTCCAGAATTGCAGGTGTCCAACTCAACTTACTTGTAGAAGCTTTAATAACTTTTTCCAAATTAGCTGTCAATTCTTCTTGTCTTTCTTGAGAATGTTCTGTCAGTTTTGCCCGCAGAATCAATTTCGCTTGAGCTATACCGCTAAGGAGCCGTTCTAGAAAGAAAATACTTCTTAATCTCAAAATTAATGTAAAAGTCTTTAATAAAATCCAGTCACAGTCAAAATAGAAGTTTCTCGGAATTGAAGATAGTCAGCTATAAACTTGTATACACTTTTATTTTGACACCCTAAAACTTGTCTGAAAATCTACTTATAGATATCTGAGGTCGAAGGTCAAGGATTTTTTGCACATTTATTGCTAATATCTTGTTTCCTATGGGTTACATGCTATTTGTATTAATTATAGCATTTTCGAGGTAGAAACACCTTCTTACCCAGATTTCATTCAATTCCAAGGCATTTTATTAAAACAATAATCACAAATGAAGAAATAATGTTTCAAGATGTAATTGAATGTGAAGAGTACTCACTATGTTCATATTCCAAACCGCTCAACTTGATTTTATTGGCCTCGTGTTGAGCCTTTTTCTTTAACCTGCAAGCCCTTGATGCCAGTTTGTTCTTCTCTTTCCTAGATGTAGGCCTCACGTTGAATGGCAATTCACTGACAGGAGTCATATCATTAATTATTCGTCCCAGTTTGTCTAGTTCTTTGCCTATTATGTGTAGTTTTCTGGCATTTGGAGTTAAATCGTTACCATCACCTTCAAAAAAAATTTTCATTACCATATATAAAAATATTAAAACCACATTAAAAATGACATATCAAGTGGAACTCCAATTTTCTAATATTCATCAATGGCAGAGATGATTTATAAGCATTTCGCTAGAACTGTGCCAAAGTTCACTACAATTTCATTATTCGTTCTATTCGTTCATTATTCAAATTATTGAAACAGGGGATTCCTCAAATTACAAATGACATGCCATCCGAATCATCACGTCTCAAGTCTGCCTTCGAAATAATTTGACATAGAAGGATATTGATATCATTTTCACAATCTGTTATAACCAATACTTGTTGATTGGCAGTGCTCATGATCTATGCTGTTCAACATTCAATATTTTTCACTGTTATGGTGCATATAAAAAAGATAATCATAATACAGTTCACAGCCAGTAAGTTTGGTAAGTCTACTGCTTGCTTTTAAGAAAAATTTGTCCCTGGTAAAACTGATTAATTATATAGTAGAACCACTCTAAAAAGCACCAACTACCCACTCATAATGTTTCTAAACAATTATCAACAATGTAGTTTGTCAGTTGTTACAATAGATGCTTTCCCTACGAGTATTTGCTTCACTAGTTGAATTTGACAAATGTCATATTTCAACCAATGATTAAGTTAGGATCACACGTCGAAAACAATTTGGACTGTAGAAATATTCAATTTAAAATTATTGAAAACCATGTGTATATAGTGTGGATAAGAAAATTCAATAAATTTTGCATGGATCCAATGGATCAGTACCACAATACTGGTATAGAGGAGACAGCCCCATCTGATAAGAACTCTTCAATATTATAGTAAGCTTTTTGGATGAAAAATGGTTTCATATTCTTCAGAAACCTCATAGTGGGGATGCAGCTGATAGATGGAGGGATGATATTAATAAAAGCTGGGTCATAATAATTTTCATAATTTCTGATTTTCATCAGCCGGCTATATTGGACAAGAAGATCTTATTTACATCTTTACATATGTAAGACATTTATAGATGTAGTGTGATGGAGATGGAACAATTAACACTCCGTGTTCACTGAACATCATTTCAACATCCTAAGTATAATTCTGATGTAGTATGTAATATATATTTCGCCTCTGAATGCCAAATTTTTTTTCCGGTATGCACCAGAATGATTGGTTGTTTCAGAAGTTTTGTCCGTTTTGATATCATTTGTTTTTGTAAGTTCATATCTACATATATATTTATTGAGATATTTATTGTACTGTGTCGTGGTATATACTTTATGGAATAATTTTCTGTGGCTGGTCCACTTATGCTTACAAAGTTTTTCTTGTACAAAAAAGAATCATCAGATCAGAATCATCAGAATTGAAAGAGTATCTAGTACCTATTCATTTGTGGATTTGTTAAAAAATTCAGGTTATTAACTCTACCAAGTTTGTTTATCTTTGAACTTTGCGTTTACGTTTATTCAAATAAATGCTCTTTTGAACTTGTTAAAAACAAACACCAAGTGAATACGCTTCAGAAGAATAATATATCCATACCATATAATAAATATAAATTAGCATGTTATTCTCCCAATATCGTAGAGCCACAGCTCTTCAATAACTTACCGAATTATATTACCGAATCCCCTACCTTAAATGTTTTTAAAAATAGATTAAAAGATATGCTCGTAAAGAAGTGTATTTATTCTGTGGATTACTTTTTGTCCGAAACTGACAGGTAAAATATTATTATTATTATTACACTGATCGATAGAGAGAGAATTTTGTACTCTATTCATTGATGTTGTTCATTTTTTCCAAAATTTAAATTTTTTGCCTCTTATCAGCTTATCACTAGCTCCCATGTCAAAAAGCTCGAAAAGTGGGTGCCCCCGATTTGAAATCGCCGAAATGTACAGAAAACTGCGCGAGCTGCAACCGGCGCCAATCAGAACCAGACAAAAACGGCCTTCGTCGACTTCATCGAATCCCGAGCATATAATTTCAATGCTGACGGAATTAATTGATTTGTGTTACATTGGCAACAGTGCATTGATTCAAATGAAGCTTATTTCTATTAGATTGAATAAGTATTGACTGAGATATTACAGTTCAAAATAGACTCATAAAAATTGACAAAACTTTTGAAACAACCTAATACAAAAATTGTTTGGAAAAATAACTGACATCACAAAATCTGTAAATGTTTCAAAGTTTCCAAAACTATAATTTCTTTATAAATATATCATTGAAGATATATGCGAATGATGATAAACAACTTCTTCTGAGATTCCTAGACCATAGGATCTTGTAAGTGCCTATTGGAAAACAATCACTTTCCTGAATAACATCAAGAAGGACACTGGATTATTTTTTTACAGACATTTGTGCAAGTTTTCCCACAGAGGAAATTCTGCAGTCTGGTAGTGATTAGTTGATTGATTTCAGTGAGGTCCTGCTGTTGTAAACTTGCACAATCATCTGTCGGACTTGGTTATTTTCCAGTAGGCATTCGCGAGATTCTACTACATGGGAGTGGTGAATGTTTTGAACTTCAATATAATATTACTTTCTATGTGTTGCAAAAAACCAATGTATTATCTATAAACTTCAAAAGTGAATCCTACTTATAAGTAAATTTGCACATTTCACTAATATGTTCAGATACTAACCTTTCCTAGCTTTTCCACTATGTTTAATACCCCTCACTGAACAATCAGGACTGAAAACTGGATCAGTCACCTGGTTGAGGCGGTGGGGATCTTCCAGTTTGGATTTCATGACTAGACGTTGTCCTTTTGGACCTTTAGCTTGGACATTATATTGCCAAAAGTAACGTTCTCTTTTGGAGGTCGAATTCCTGTTAGGCCTATCGTCGTCATCATCTGAATCTAAAATATTAGATATTGCAGACTTTCAACAAGTTCGAATATCCAACTATAAGCATGAAAAGTCTCCGATAATTGGTCAATATATTTTCAAAGTTGTGGCTAGACAGTGACAAACTTTATCAATTTTTTTTGTTCTTTGAAAAGGTTTCAAATGAAAATTGTGATATCGCTCATGAATACTATTAAATGTCGTTAAAAATATTGATTACTTTTCAATCATCAATCTAATATTGTGAAAATGTACATCATTGCTTCATGAACATGATTAAGAGGGTGATAGTTCCATAGTGTATAGAAAAAGAATAGTCAATATTATGTATTATATTTTTCAAAAGAGTGCTTACAATTTGTTGATTTGAATATTTAAACCAAAGACTGAGGAAACTTTTTCTGCGTTTTAAAAACTTCATCAACTGATGTAGAAGCTGTATTTATCATTTGGGTTTTAGTGTTTTTAATTTACATGCACAAAAAAATAATTGTATAACTTGAGAGTTAACAAGTTTTTGTATATCAAATGATTTGAGATCCAGTTATTCAACTTACTCAAAAAAAATTCCAATTCTTTCATTAATTTTCCCAAACTATAACGAAAATGTCACAGGCAACTGAAGTGAGATGGTCAGAGATCATCACCTTATTAAGTATGTCAATTATAATTAAACCAGGTTTCTATTAAAGAAGAAAGTAATACAAATCATGAGATTATGAAACAACAAAAATGAATTGGCGCTCCGGGGCGACTTCATTGATTCCAGTGGTGCATTTGTTTTTCAGCTGCAGAAAAACCCGGAAAAACCTGCAGCACCACATCATCTGAAGATCTTGATCTGTCAATAATTGAAATTATTCACGAATGAGTATGTAACAGATAGAGTCTTGGTTCAATAATTGACCCTTGGAGAACTCCTAAACTTATATTATGACAAATGACAAAAGGAAACAGCCTGAAAAGTAATATTGAATTTGAATTAAAAATCAAATGGAAAATTCACTGAATATGTGACCATGGAATGTATCGATTTGAAAAGTAAAACATGATCAATCTCATACATATCTCACCATTATCTGTAGAAAAATCTTCATAATGTGCATCACTATCTTCATCACTTTCTTCATCAGGAGAAAAATCAGGAGGATCTGGACTCAATACACCACCAGTCGACAGAGAAGAAGTTGAACCAGCTTCAGCTAATGAGCTTGTAGATAATAAGTGTTTTCTTGGTTCTCGCCTTTGCCATATTTGATCAATGCCTAGATGAGTGGGAGCTGAAGATGATAGCCTGAAGTAGTTAAAGCTAGTCATTATGAAATAACTTGAAAAAATCTTCAAAGTTGTTAGTAAAACCTCAAGATAAATAAAAATATTTACACGGGAGAACTAATATTTTAGTAAATATATTTCTGTAAAATAGTTGTGTGGACAGTATCTATAGAAAATAATGAATCACGAAACTATTTTTAAATATTAAAAAAAGTTTTCTACAGGAAATCAACTTTTGTATGTTCATCCTGATTTGAATTATTGCCTCTCATGTGATTACAATGAATGATCTCATTTTAATTATGGCCCAAATAAAATACTGTGCCAAAACTTTGCCAATTTCTTGAATGATCTCTTCGGAACTCGATTGTCTTAGAAGAAGACTATTGAGTGGCTATGTTTTTCTTCAATAACTCATCATTTTATGTATTCACTTCATCACAATAACATTGAATTATTTTCCATGACTTGCACACTTTTTTCAACACAAAAATCATTTGTATTTACTCCAATCAATATATACATTTTTGAGAGCTGTTGCTCTTAACACAATCGTGCTCTGTCAGGGTCGGAGAGGAAGTCACATTTTATTTTAATCATTTGATATTCACACAATGTCTTTATGTTTTTATGTGTGGTATGAAGTTTAGTTTTTTTTTATTTTGTTTTGTATTACTGCAAACCAACAAGGTAAGATTTTTAATATAAAAGATTTACAAAACCGTAACAAGTGTTTTGCTATACAATAACTTCCTCAAGCGGAAATAATTGTGTCAAAGCTATTTTACAGATTTTTCAGCCGTAGTCTGCAGGTTTTAATTCCTGACGTTTTGTCTACTACTGCGGTAGACGTTATCAAACGCGATGTGGTAAAGGTCAAAGTGATCGAATTGGTAGTCGAATTGTTGTTGCCATTGTTCATAACGTAGAAACCACAACCCAGAGAACCTCTAGCAATACCCGTGGTATACCGGATTCCTTCTAGCTTCAGGTCGGTCTTCATTGAAACCAGTTTTTCTCAACACAATAGAAATTGTCGCCTCGGACAAACTTACAAATCAGCTGTAGCCGAACATGCTCTCAAAAAAAGAAGGCACTCACATCATCTCGTTCGAACATACAGTAATACTCAATTAAACACAAAATTACTATCCAAGAGTATACAGAGAGCCAATAAACATTCAAAACAGAGTGAATTTCAATATAAAAGAAGAGGCAATAAACATTTATAAAATGTGGCTACCTGTCTTAAATTGTCACTAGATCCAATTATGAGAAACGAAGCCACGCCCACAGATGATGGTATAAAACCAAATTCCAACATTGTAATTTATGAATTGAACAACTCGAGCACTTCAAAAGTTACCTTATCGCTTTTAATAATGTCTACCACAGTAGTAGACGAAAAGTCTAGCATAAACACCTGCAGACCACGGCCAAAAAACCCAGAAAATAGCTTAACATAATCCTTATTAATCTACCTTGATGCCTGACCCCTTCCAATCCTGAGACTGTGTCCATGTGCCATGGTATTCCTTTCCGGGAAAGACTGTCCTAATGCTGAATCAGTTGGAGACCCATAGGGCTCGCTCTTTACCAAAAGTTCGTGCAGAGTGCTGTGTTTCCTTTGAAAACTCGACACGTTCGGTGGAGATGATAAAGATTGGACGAGGGAGGAACTGGAACTATTCTGACTTTCGGGAGAGAAGGCGACGGATGTTTTATACTTGTAGTAGTCAAAAGTACCTTAAAAAGGAATACAAACTTGAAGTAAACAAAAATATTGAGGCAGTTCAGTTGGAATATTTTTTTTTAAAGAATTCAAAATCAATTACAGTTACCTGATGAAAAAAAACATCTGAAAATATCATTAATTTATTTGTTTACTTTCAAGATTATTTCACATTAATGAAAAAACCTGCTGCCAACAAAATGAATTTTTGTAATCGAGAAAAATTGAGGAAAACTATTCAAAATAGCAGGTTAGATTTGTCTCACCTGTAGGAACACTGGAAGGTAAATCCAAATCTTTTTGAGAAATACTCTGAGATGGGCAAGAATTCTGGTTATTATTTATAAGATGATTCGGAGTCAGGCTGTGGCTTTTCTCCAAAATGATGTAGGTACTTTCTTCAGGAAGTAGTAAGTCATCAAAGTTCAAGTCACCTAAAAAAAATACAGCAATTCAACGTCAGTTTAGAATTGTCAATAAGTCTGCTATAATAGGAAGCTAAGAAAAAAACTTTTTCAATTCGCTTCCATATGCCTTCATCAATCCAAGGTACATACTAAGTCTTTCAAGAATGAAATTTCAACATATTTATGAATTATTTTGTAGTCATAATTCAAAATTATATTATAGATACAATGTACACATACATTTTTTTTCAATTCACTAGCTGTATATTTGATCGTTGAGGTAAAAGTGTATGGTTATATATATTTTGATAAAAATGTGTACAAAAGTTATTCACAGTTTTCATTGATAAAATAAAAAGACTGAAAAGTTTTTCAACAAAAATTCAAAAATCTCTCTCACCTAAAAAGTTCTCATCATTGGCATTCAATTCAGCTAAAGTAGGTCCCTGTATCAGATCAGCCTTATCAACTTGAAAAATATCATCTTCGTCCATGTTAATGTACGACTCCGATTTCAACATTTCGTCATTATTGATCAACCGGTTCAAATTCCAGGAATTGCCCATATCATAAATTTCAGGTGTCTGAATTTGAGCTGTGAAACCTATGTCAGTGTAGAGAGGGGACTGGGAGTTCTCGAAGTCGATGTCAAAACTTCTGTAATCGTTGAGATCTCTTCTTGGGGGGATAGGAACGCTGGCAGACATGTTCATGACAGTGGAGTCATTCACTAGAGGTTCCTGTTTGATTGAGATTCCTGGGTCTAGGAAAAAGTCTTTGCCAAAGTCACCCATGGTACCTGAACATAGAAAAACAATAATAATAATAATCTTTATTAATCCCAAGAAACAAGAATGTTTATAACAGGAATAAAATTTAAAATAATGATTAAATAAATTATTTCAATATTAAATATCAGTTACATATACAGCACATAAATACATAAATACAAACACAAATATACATATATACATACATATTTACATATACACACACATACATAAATATATAGGTAAATTTTTAAATTATAATGGTACCTAATTGAAAACAAGAAAATGTAATATGGAGATCAGAATTTTAATTAGAGGAAGAAAGCAGAAGCTTTTTCAATTCCGATTTGAATTTTGTTTTTTGATTCATTTTTATTCTCTGGAAGATTATTATATATTTTAACTCCTAAATGAAATATTGATTTCCCCCCAAATTTTGAGTGATATGATTTAACTAGTAGTTTTCTGCTTGTTTTGTATTATGATCATGGAATGTTTGAAACACTACTGAGACAAATTAATAAAGGCTCATTTCTTAGTGAAATCCACTTTTCTCGTGAAGATGACCCATAAAAAATACCACCTCAGTTCTATTTGTTGATGAAACAATTGGTGTAAGAATTCACAAAGAAGATCCCGAAGCGATCTGTGAAAGAGTTCTGAATCAAGCTAAATCCTGCAATCCTGGTTCAAAGCAATTATCCGTTTCTGATTGAGAGTAAAACTGTATCTTTGAACTTCAATAGTTCGAACAGCAGTAGCAAACTATGGCATTAACAAATTTTCATAGAGTGAATAGTGATTCAAGCTAGTCACAACAAACAAACGCTTCAAGTGGAGGAGTAGCGAAGGCAGTTATAAAAAAATAAAGAGATGTAGTGGGCCAACAGGCAGCCTCAAATATAGTGTCCGACCAAAACTGGTTTTTACGACCGAAACCGAAAACGAAATTTGGCAACGGTCTCAGTTACGGCCGAAACCGAAACTTCCTTGTAAGGATTATGTTTTGAGGGAAAAATAATGAAAACGTTATTATAATCAGTCAGTCTTTATTTTTTTATCTTCAAACCACAACGATATGCGACATTTTTACTTATTGATAATCAACGTAACAACCCCTTATTTAAAAAAAAAATATTCATTGCATCTTAAAAATACTTAAAATAGGTGAGGTGTTTATTTGAGTAGGTGTAGATTTGAATATTATTGATGGTTTTTCAAAAATATTAAACATAAAATTACTTATTTAAGTTGTTACGTAGTATCAAAATAGATACTTAATATTTATGTAATAAACAAAGTAAATCACGAGTCAATTTGAGTCACGACATGATTAGGCACGTGGACGTGGCAAAATGTCTATGTTGTTTGTATGAAATTCAACGCGCCGAACATGACCGATCACAGCGCCGAAACTCGACCGAAACCGAACTTTCGGACGGACACTACTCAAATGTATTACTTCCTGTTCCATCAACTTATATTTTATGGATTATTGTCCTGGGTGACTGAGCTCGAATTGATTCAATGAAAATATTCATTCTACAAAAGGCAGCAGTAGAAAACATTATTAAACCTATATGGGACTCAACTTGCAAACCAATGTAACAGTTTCAACAGCTTGCCATCTCGATTTCGAAACTAACTTTATAATAAAGGAGTAACAAAATTTCTTTGTGACCTCTGTCTGTACAGTACTGATAATTTTATTACATTGAAGAGCCAGAACAAATGTCCGTTTTAATAATTGTTTCATTTTTAATGCTATGTAATTTTGATTGTAAGTTTCATCAATGATTTTACACTTAATGTATTGACTTATCCATAAATGTATGTTTCAATATGACTGAATAAATATTATTATTATTACTTTTATTAAGCATAACGATAGCGTTTTTTGGTTCATATTATCATTATTTTCCATTAGAAATAAACAAATGTCTAATTTATAGCCTTTTTGTCATACTAGTGTTGTTCTTTTAGCTCAATAATCAATTTTACATACTGATTTCTGGCGTGCAATTCTACTTTCACTTCTTACCATTTTCATGCAAATATTAGTTTAATATTCATAAGAGTTTTATAGGGGTATCACTTTCAAAATAATGATAATCAAATAATGATTTGACATTATTATAAGAATTTTAATTGTTTTAGTTCACTCATATTGCTGGTTTCCAATGCAAACATCACAAGGGGAGAAATATAAAGAAATTTGTCTTTGGAAAATATATCTTATCATAGTCTATGGTAGATTCAAATAACAATGACTAGAATCAATGATTCCATAATTTGAAAAATATTAGCTAACCTAATTTACTCTTCTTTGGAGCATTATGCTTGTCCTGCAGAAATCTTGCTTGTTACACAAAATGCAACATTTCCCAACTGGTCACATTAAAAGCTATTTTATTACAATGAATACTTTTGTGCTGGCTACAGAATATTGATTAAGAAAAAGTTACATTTTGATTTTCCATAATTACTTTGAAAATGTTTAAACCGGAGAAAAGTGTTCAGAAGTCTTGCCTTTTCCACCAGTAGAAAAAATAATATTCTGTGTTTCTCTTTAAAGGTTAGTTTTAAAAACAAATCGTGGACTTTGCACTTCAATTAAATCTACCTGAAAAATAAGTGTTTTATAATTGTCAAACTATTCACATAACTGTTTCACATTTATACATTGAAAAGTTGAAAATATAGAGTGATTATATTCACATTATTGATAACCAATCATTGTTTAATGATATTTTGGATGACACACTGAATCCAAACAAGAATTCGATTTGGCAGTATTGACATCTAAAATCACCCATTTCAAAACTTTCATAGTGTTCGTTCTTCTACAGGTAACACTTTAACTCAATACGATTCACATCTCCTCATGATGATAAAGAGTGGAGCGCTTCTACAACCCCCTGTTCCAGGAGAAGTAAGGTCTCAACTTAGCATTTATTTCTCAATATCATTTCAAATTTATTCATTTTTCAGATGATGGCAGTTTATTGAATAATCAGCTACAATCAGAGAAGCCATATCATTTATGCTTATATAACCTACTTCATATAACATTTCTTTAACCACTTAACCCCATGAAAACTTTCATTTTCAACTCTTTCACTCTTGCATCAAAGCTATTTTTTGGATTTGTTGGCCATGATCTGCACAGTCCGTTTGACGTTTCGTTTACAAGTAAGGTTCACATCACTGTAGGCAAAACATCCAGCATTAAAACTTGCAGGACTTGACCAACAAGACCAGAAAATAGCTTTTACACAGTTTTCTCTTGCCATGAAATACTACATTCTTTGTTTGAAAATGGTCGAAGGTTTCATGCTGAATTTCATTAGTTCGGACTTCAATAGTCTAATGTGGCTAATATGACATTGTCTAATCAGACAATGGACATCTTTCTATCCTATCCTCACTGTGATATCCTATCCTCACTGTGATTCTATAAGGAATTCTTCTATGTGACTGATTATTACATAACTTTTCATTCTGGCGCCCTCTTGCGGAAAAAGAAAATCATCAAGTAACTGCGGAAATTCTTCAAAATGTCAGACTTTTCGAGACTTATACTTATCTATTTCATTTAATAGAGAACAGTCCTAGCACTTAAGTATTGTAAATTAATATAGTTTGAATTTATTGAAAATATATACAGTTTTTCATCTTTTATCCATACAATGCACATTTTTTCAAGTTTAATTTTTTATAACTTGTTCACATTATCTTTTAAATGAAGTATCACAATTTGAAATACTTAGCAGTTGTTTTTCTAGCAAGAGTACTTTCCCTATTCAAATTCTAAGGGTAATGGACACCAATACACGGGGAAGGAGATACGACAGTTAAGTTTATGATAGAAAGCTGTCACCCTTGAATTAAAAGTCGACAGGTTTTTCCATTTTTTCTCAACAAATGAGTCTTGAAGATATTTAATCTGTTTTGTTTTCAATGCCACACACTGTATGAATTATATTATAAAAATAATTTTTGATTTTTCTGAACTAAACCAATAGTTTCCATAATTCAATTTTTAATATAGGAAAATAGGCTTCATCAGTGATATGTGCGTTGACTATGACAAAGGTTATATCTTGAAGTCAACGCACATACCACTGATGACCTGCTGCAGCAGCAAACACACTAGTATTTCCATTTAACCACGATCTACCAGCTCGTATTTTGTATTTTCTTATCAATTTTTCAATGTTTGACATTGAAAGCTAAGTAAATTTTCTACGTTATGTATGACAAAAACTGCAACTTAGTTTACTTTCTGTAGCACTAGGAGGATAATTAATCGTTCCTATTTTTGATGTAAATGATTTATTTAAGAAAGTGAAATAGTTCCGCTTAAAATATTTTAGACCTTCAAATGAGTTTTAAATATTTTTTATTAAGTATCAAGGACTTTGGTCCCAGTTGGGGACCAATTTTTCATTAATATCATCACCTGTAAATAAATTCTTCTAATCGCGCTTCCCTCCTTAAAGATCCGCCCCTGCTTTTGAAAATCATCTAGAGTTCCCTTTATGGCGGCTGAGTAGCCACGCCAAGACGCAAACTTCCATAACATTTCCTTAGACCTCATAATATACTCAGACATTTTTTAAATCTTCAAACCTTGTGGACAATATGAATATACCTATCAATAAAATGAAGGTCAACTACGTAAGTCCATTAATTGATGAATGTTGAAAATTTTAGCAAATAAAATGCCTGACATTCTGCAGCCAGCGAACGCCACTGCAGCTTTGGCTCCATTTTGATTAGTACTTTTGTCTTTGGATTTATTTTAAGGATAAATCGTTCTTTTCTTTATCATGAAATATATATCTCAAGGTTGTAAGCTACAAGACTTGTATAATCTCAGGAAATATAAATCAATAATTCCATGCATAGACATTCTCCCTCTCACTTCCTAATCAAACAAATGTGAAGTGTAAACAAAAACATATCCATGCCTGCTATCTGTCCTTGGATAATCGAATAATATTCTTACCAGATTATGATACTGCTGATAGATTCTAGAGATGAATTCTTTATTCCGTTTTTAATGTCACAATACAGATTGTTCGCAAAATATTTATTTCCGTACAATCTACCACGCTTGTCGAAAAGCAAGCATGACTCAACAAACTAGACTGTCAATAAGTGTCGTTCACTTGCGTAGTGTTTTGAAACAGTTATGCTAAAAAAGAATCAAATAGGCACCAGAAAATTCACTTGTTTTCTAATCACAACACACTGATGTAACACTTGCTTGAAATTGCTAATCACACTCCGTGGGAATGATTTCAACAAACGGTTGTCGCTTCTCCAAAATATGGAGACCAAAAACATTCAGGAATTTCACCGAAATTTCACCTCGAGCATCGAATTCGCGAATACCCACTTTGTTCTAGCTCGTGGACCGAGGTTGACGAGAATAACGTCAGATTACGGATGTCCTTCAATGTAGACAAATACCGACACGTGACAAAAACAACAACACATTACGTGAATGAGCGAAGGAGACACTCTTGGAATGTGATTGTACACAAATTCCTACTCTTGGGAAAAAGTAATCAGTTACAGGAATACTAGAAAACTGACTGAAGTGATAACATAAAATGATAATATTAGTATGCTATATGACATCTGTTGCTTTTTCATTTTACTGTACTTTATTTCATGGGCGTATCAATATAAATTCGGTCGACACTAAATTTATAATATTTATACAGCATCTCCAAATGAATACGAATCAGCTGTTATCAGAAACTGCTCAGCGTTTTAGAAAATCGGGACTAATGGCTTTTTGACTGAAGCTTGTTACCAATCAATGTACATAATCTACACAGCGTTTTAGAAAATCGGAACTAATGGCTTTTTGACTGAAGCTTGTTACCTATCAATGTAAATGATCTACACAAAATATTTCAATGGCAGAGAGTTCGTTCAAAATCTCTTGAAATTTTCCCTACAGTAGCCTTCAAATTGTAAAATTCTAACAATTTCATTAATACATTAATATTAAACAACATTTTCAAATACAAGCATTTTTCCCAGCTCTGAAAAGAAGAATATATAAATGTTGAATTAAAACATCCCATCAATTTATTATATAACATTCATATGATATAAAAGCTTGTCGAGAGATTTACCTATTTTACAAAAAATCGGGGGTTAATTCAATTCAAAATTAAAATTTTCAATAGATTCATTTTACGCCAGATATTTGTTATGCCTAATATTTATTAAAAATAACATAACCTAATGGATACGGTTTTCCTCAAAAGGTGTACCTACGAACAAACAAATTACTTTCAAACCATTTCCTTCGATTATATAAAGAGAATATGATTCACAAAACAACCCAAAAAATGAATGCGTTTCAATATAGTTATATAATATTAAACGACTTTTTAGAAACACGTTAGGAATCACACGTTGAAAGGTAAGACCTCGTTAGTTCTTAGCTCGCACAAGTTTCTCAAGTTCTGAGAGTTGTCGTTCGTATGGGAGCGACAGCTGATTAACGAAAAAACATTTTTTTTTAAATAGTGTTAGGTTAGCTCCAAAGTGAGTGGGACAATTCGACCCTTCACCGCAACCCGCAAGGGTTTATTGTGGCTCACAACTATTCACAATAGTGTAGGATGATCCATCAGTTGTTGACAACATTGAGTGGTATTTTAGTAGGAACTGATGATTTTTTGGACAAACGGATATAATTATTTCATTTACGAATCCACTGCTTCTAGAAATATGTATGGCAAATGTTTTCTAGGGGTTTTTAAGGCTATACAATGAATTTTTCATAGCAATTTTGGGTAACAATCTTACACTAACGTTTTTCTAGGGGACTTCATTTTTTTTTTGTTAAAATTTGTTTTTCCGTTAACCAGCTTAACTTGGCTTTGCTGATCTCTGTTATTATTTTATACCTATCATATAGGTATAAAATAATAACATATCACATAAAAATATGTTCTAATACAAAACTAATTTAATTACCTACTGATTTTCTCTATAAGATGATAGGACCTTAGTTTACGTGACAGTAATAAAATTAATTAACAACCTTTTCTATTACATATAAGTTTAGAAATTCTTGCTTTTCTTTCTTTGATTTTTTACAAAAAATTCACTAAACAGCTAGTAAAACATATCAGACGAGTATAAAACACAATGATAAAATCAATCTCGATTCAGAGATTTTAAAAAAATTGTAGGAAAACACTCAATCTCACCAACAAAATAATGATATAATTGATATATCGTATTTTGTTATATAACGTATTTTGTGGAGTAGAGGATAGTACAATGAATTTAAAAATTCAATAAAAAACAATGTTCCTAATGTCTCGTTCTATAATTTTCGAGAATAGAATTCGAGATAATACAATAATATGTGTATAGGAGGTAGGCTGGAGAGTTCTGAATTATATAAGGAGCAATCGACCTTGTCTACCCCAAATTTTTGTGCCTACCAATTCAAATTAAACAAACTTATTTCATACCATGAATTACATCTTGTCAATAATATCAATCACAGTATAGTACTTTCAAATGATCTCGTATGTTCTACGAATTTTTAAAAATTATTCCACGTCTTCCGTAAAAATTTCATTCGCCTTGGTCGAACCACCAATAGCCAGTGGCTTTTTTTGGCTCGATCACCTTGTTTGCTCAGATGTGACAACTCAATTCTGGGCACAAGCTGTTTATCTTCGTAGCAACCGAGAAAAATAGGTAGTTGCTTTTCCGTGATTAATTTCTCATTCAAACCCTTCTTCATCGTTGGAGCCTTACCGAATGGGAATACTCGTCAGCTTCTTCATCAACTGTGATCAGCCGAACTAAAACAAAACCCTAGCTGTAATCTTCTTCCCGAAGTGCGTTTCACCAATCAAGTAGACGTTATTATGAAATGAATTTGTCATTTTTATAAATAACAAGATGATACATCAATTATTTTTTCGGCAAATTAGTCGAAAATTTTTCGCCAACTTACGAAGAGTGGTACGTAAAAAACTAGTTTCAATGCTAAAAATGAATGTAATTTTTTTAGTATAAGAAGAAATGTTGATAAATTCCTGACTTTTTACTTTCCATCATATCCATTCTATCTTCAATGACAATGACAGTGGTTATAAGGAAGGAATATAGTTCCATACAGAACTAAATCAACTACACTATACCTCAACATACATTCAATTTTTATTTTTATCGCTAAAATATTACCTTTGTATATACAAAGATATTACTATTTTAGACAATAATATTACTGAATGTTTTCATAAGAAAATGCGACATCTCGTGATAATTATAATTAATTGCAGAAAACAGAAAGACACAGATTCGTTTCAGTGTTCTGTGACAATGTAGCTTTTTGTGGCTAGTGGCATCTACCGTTACTCGTTAGAAAACTAGATTTGAGAAAGTACTTAGTATTTATACAAGAGAGAAATCATCGTCTATGGATACAATGGAGAATCTATAAATATGTACGAAAACTGAAGCAAACTTCTATTTTCAACAGTAAAAGATTCAGCAAATTTTTTAATTACAAATAATTTTCACATTAAGTTATGCGCAAGGTGTTCTTACTTATGTCTGAGCCTCTTATAATCCTAATAAAATAAAGTTTTGTTCTATTATTCATGGTATACAAAATCACTGAGCATTTTATAATTTTTATTATTATTTCTTATGCTTTTCTTATTTTAATCAGGTATCCGAAGAAAATGGTGAATATCGGCATAGTATAAAATCCTTAGACAATGCTATAAAGTACTATTGTATAGGACAATTCATTATATTTTTGAGAAGTTACCTGTAACACAGTTTTTACTAATTCTCAGTAACGGCATCTATCATCAATGAACTGTACAAAATATCGATTTTTTTTATTCACTTGGTGGTACAAGTAGTCCAGTCCCAGTGGTATCACGACGGCAATACAATTTTCTTGGCCACATCTCTGCTCATGTTCAATTTTGAAAATAGGATTTCACTAAAATAATGGAAACATTTCAGGTACGGTCGGAATCATACTGTACTGGATTTTCATATTTTTGATTTTGATTGCTTTTTTTACAGTGGAAGTTTATTTCACAATAGAATGAAAAAAAATGATCACCAATATTTGAATTTGGCGGGTTTTTAACGCCACCTCGAATTCGAATTTGACAATACAATCCTGTTTTTAGTTTCAAAGAATTCCCGTACGTTTGGTAGCTTGTGATAAGATGGAGCTAATATTTTCATAATAGAAAAGAGGTCAGTAAGTTTGAAATAATATACTCTACCGTCATTCGAGTTCCTTAACAAGTCACTAACAAAAAGAAGATTTTTTAATTTCCTGTGATTTGTATTACATTTCAATTTGCACGGCTGGCTTGAATGATGCCGCTGCAAGTAGCTTGCCATTTTGTAAATTATGACTATTGTTTATTTTTTTGGAAACTATAGTCAATGCTCTATCAATACCGTTATTATCAAATATCAACTAATAAAGAGCGGAAGTCTTCTGTTCCAACAGTTAATAGGAGAATGTCTTTTATTTTTTTAGGTTATGATTTAAATGAAAATGGGTGAAAGCAAGCAAGTGCGGGTGGACAACTGGGGAATATTCTTCCTCCAGCGACTACAACTATTTTTCAGTAAAACCGATTACTGTGATCTAACTTTGCAGTTTGAGGGTAATGTCCAGCTGAAAGTACATAGACTCGTAATGAATGCTTGTACGGAATATTTCACGTTTTTGGAGCAGACTTGTCCTGCTCTCGAAGAAAATACCATACTCATGCCTTCGGATCTTCAGTCTGATGTTATTGTGCCCATAGTGAATTTTATGTATACAGGTATGTAAAGCAACAATACAGTTTTTGTATTTTGTACAACTACAAGGTTCTGGGTAATTATTCAGATACTTATCTGGTGATTTGTCCGCTGATCTCAAGTCTGAAGTCAGAATGTGGCATTCTGGTCTGCTTTCAGAGATAATATCATCCAAATGTCAAAAAATCTACTATTTCAGAAACTTCCTTCTCATAATAAAAACCCGTAAAATGATACATAAAAAGTGTTGAATTGCCTCAATTTTTTTTTCAACAAACTGCATCATAGTTGTTCATATGGGTAACTAAAAGATAAGAAATGACCCTGCTTTTCTGTCACTCGATATGTTCCTTCCACAATTCGAAAGAATTCTGAATTAAGTATTGTACCTATTTTCGGAAATTAATGAATATGTCCGTTTTTGTATGCACAGATTTAAAATGTCAAACTGAATACTATATGGTTATCTAATAGGTAATAATTTTTACCTTCTTTTCTGTCATTGAAGTATGAAAGTAGACACAACTTATTCAGCCTTCTTCTGTATTGATAATTAGAAATGCCACCTTCTTTATCTGTCGCTCAATATGTACTTTTTTCAATTGAAAAGAGGGCTGACTTATTAAGTTGTATCTATTTGCTGGAATAAATGCATATGTATGTTTTGAAATAAAGGTGATTGCTTTTCCTGCTTTTTTTTTGAACGATCACTGTCCTTAAAAGTTCTATTCATTTGAACATAACACGCTTTGTTCAAGAAACATGTTCTTTTGAACACAACAACAGAATATAATTATTGTATAAATCATGTTATATTATATTTAAATGATCAGTGTTGAAGGAAAAACAACTCATAGTTGAAAATTATAAGCATACAAAATTAAAACGATTTAATATTAGCCTGTTCTTACTAATAAACTGTCATTTAGAATGTGTTTTTTAGGAACCAATGTTTCTGATTCAAATTGAAATTAAAACTGTTTATAGTGTGTGTAATTGTTTCATGTAAAAAGAAGGCTAAATCAACTAATTGTATTTATTTGCAATGATGAACAAATATGCTAGCGAGCCGCAGCATTATGTTTATGTTTTAAGTCGCAAATAAGTTGCGACTTTCAGGTCAGTTTATCTCCGAAAGTAGACAGGAGAGCCACATTTTGACTTCAGTTTCGTGTATTAGACCTAATACCCAGATATAGACAATAATCAAATCTTTGAATAACTCGCTGAACTATAAATTGTATAATATTCATTCTAGTAAGCTTGAAAAAAATAATCTTCAGTTCAAAAGAAATTAACAATGTTCAGTTTAAAAAAAAATCATAATTTTTTCTTGAGAATCACTTATATTATTCACTCAAGGAATATTAAGAGTATGCAAAACAAGGGGGGAATGATTATGATGTATACCTAATGAACTCGTAATAATTTCATTATTGTTCTGTATTTTTCAATATATGAACTGTTTAAATGTGTTTCTATTTTTATTAATTTGTATGCATACATATACTTTAATCGATGAATTAATTTTGCTACTTGCGTATGCAGTTGTTATAATGTAGCCAAATAAACTATTCTATTCCTTTATTCTAACATAAATTATTTTCAATTGAAATAGGTATGCTGGAATTCCGTACATCTATTTTTGAGAAACTGTATAAGGCAGCGGAGTTGATGAACATAACTGTCCTAACTAAGCTGCTTGAGGCACAGGAAATTCAAATTCAATATGCGAAATCAAAATTGGAGAATAAACCCAAAGCTGGACTGAAAAAAGCCACTCCAAAATCTTCTTTTTCAACACCTGACTTACCGCCTACTTTGCCTGGTAGAAAAGTCCCTGTTTGGAAGAGGAAAAATGCCCCCCCTACCATTTCCACTCCTTCATCACATAATGCCTCACAGCAGAGCTTTTGTGATGAACCGAGGCATTCGGTTCCATCTGATCCTTTGTGTATCCTGGATAATACACCTAAACCAACCCGTTTTGAGTGGCCTGAAGATGATCTGCCACCCATTGATTCCAGTTTTGAGGATATTTCATTGACAAGTAAACCATTGTTGACCAAGGAGGAAGAAGAGAAGGCCCAGCATTGTTTTGATGACCTTCGAAACAACGTTGAAATTATACCTAAAAAGAATATATCAAGAGCTTCTAGTAGTAATATTATTAGCAATATTAACACTAAAGTAGTTGAGGATTTTGTTAAGGAACAAAAGATCAGGAGTACCATGTTTGAAGATGGTAAGTTGAACTAAATCCTTTTTTATTCTGTACAAGTACGGTTATAGTTTCCTGTTATCGACGTTATAATTTTAGTCATAGGGACGATTTATACAAAGGGTGAAAATTATTTTGATAACATTTGTACTTGAATACTTCAATAACATCTTAACCAACTACTGCACTGGTTTACTTCAATTTTTCTTGTTTGTTTCACTCACCAGTGTTTGGATTGAGCTAGTTGATCGTTTTGCTTCATAAAATTTTAAATCACCATATGGAAGTTTTCAGAAATTTCTTTGGCTTTCATCTTTTGTTGGACTCAGTGTTGGTTATCTTCTTCAGAAACATATCGAAGCACAATAGGTAAACATGCTTTTCTTAGTTTGCAGCATAGATATTTCTATTTTTTCCATTAGGCGTGAGCATAACTTTGGTGTCATTGTAAATGACATAGGAGTGGGTTCAAATGCTTGATTGAAGATAATTTTGTTATAAGGTACTTTTGAGAACGATATTTGAGAGATTTCAGATAGATAGATAAATGAAAAATTTAAAGACACGGTAATGTGATTATACTTGACTTTCTGAATAGAGGTGAAGGTTGATTATTGTTCATTATTATTACAATTTTTTGGTTAGATCGAAGCTATCAAGTTATTTTGAGGATCTCAAAATTTACTTTACAAATTGACAGTGATGAGATAGAAGAAACATTTTCAAAGCAAAAAGCGCAAGTCTAAATTTTGTCCATCGGATCATAAGATTAATTGAATTTGTATGTGGTAGCTCCTAAGATAATAATTTTGTTCCATAGACTTTTTTGTCTATATCTCATCAATTCATTTTCTTACATTCAAAACGATTATTTAGGTCAATAATTTCCTTATTTAAAAATTGTATTCCGTTTTTCATAGGAATGTTTACATTTTTGACAAAGTCTAGCTAATCATATAACATACTCTCTACAAGTACTTGAACAATTATTTTTTCGATAACTCTTTATTTCTTTCAAATTTTTGTAACTAAAGAAGAATTATAGACTCTGAATGATTTTTTTTTCATATCTTCAGAAGTTCCATGGATTCAATTGATAGCTATCATAAAAATAATTAATTGATTCACTCCCCTTATTTTATGATTGTATTTAAGTTGACGATCTTGAAATTGGCCAAAAGAGAAAAATTGAACTATCATCTACATCAAAAGTCCCATCAAAAAAAGTTAAATTAACCAACAAAGAAAAGGAAACCACCATAAGTGTTGAAGGTGCAGATGTTGTTAACATAGACCACACTAAAATCGTCACAGAAATTTTGAAGAAGTACCCAGATCTTGTGAAGAAAAATAAAAATATTAAACTGAAAATCATGCCTTCGAGTGGAACTAAGTCTATGCCTGAGAAAAAAGTTCCTTCACCAGAACCTCACATTAAACCTGTAAGTATCAGTATATTGCAGTTTGTAACTGCTCCTTTAAATTTGTGTAATAAGTTGAAGTTCAAAATATCAACCAAATCGTCCTTTTTCCAGCTTGACAGTCCTAACCATGAAGTTAATAAATCTAACTCAAAGAAAAAACCAACAATAACTGAGGAAACAAATGAAGAAGGTCCGTGGACATGCAGGAAATGCATCAGTGTTGGAGGAGAGCCCCAAGAATTTGTTCTTTATTATCTTTACCGCAAGCACATGACAGATGTACATGATGAGATATTCGATGCAAGCTTGTGCAAATATTGTGGACGGAAATGTAGCAATCACAACTTGATGATGTATCATTTATATACGAAACATGCTTTGAAACCACCCTCTACATATAATTTCCCGTTATGCGACAAATGTCCTTATATAGGTGAGTTATATTCTTTTGTCCAAAATCATTTTATATTCAAACAACAAACCATGTGTTACGATTTCGTAAATGGTCAAGTGAAAATATAACAAAGTGTTGTTTAAATATGAAACCCCAAACATTTTTTAGAATAATATTTTGAATTAGACCTATTATTTATTGATTAACCATTTATTTCTTGAGAAACATACAATTTGTTTTATAACAATAGTATAAGTTTATTCATGGATAAATACATGGATAAAACATTTTAAAGTTGATTAAATTACAATACTAAAGACATCTTGTGTTAGTGTAATTACCCTGGTCTGATTTAGCATTTGATATGATGTTCCTTCATTCATCATCTTCTGGCTAATTCTTGTTTTGTTATATGTCTCATTTAAAATTATTTACGTCTATCACCTGACTGACATGTGTTTTGTTATGTGTTTATTTTTTAAACTACTAATATAAGATGCGCTTTGTTAATACAAATTTTTGTTCTTTAGACAATAAAGAAAATATATCTCTCTCTCATAATATTTGAAAACATATACATTATTATGAATAAACTCAGATATGAACCTTATGAAGCAAATTTGTGAGCAGTTAACAAGTTATTGATAACATAAACAGCAACAATACAAAGTAACAGACAGTAAATAGAAAATATAGATATTAATAATAAGTTCAGAACTTTCACTAGTGAATAATTAGAAAAAATTCAATAAATTATAACTCTAGTTAGGAATTAGTCTACTTCATCTACTGAAGATGCCAACTTGTTTGAAAAAACATGTGTCGCGAAGAGTGTTGCAGTTCTGGTGTTTGGAAACAGTGCTTGTTTTGGATGTATATGGTAGTTTATTGTTATAATTTTATTCCGGCACAATAAATGATAACTTCTACAAAAAAATCTTCAATTTTTTTTAAGATTTTTTTTTACAAACAAAGGTACAGATACAGATACAAGATAATTTACAGATAATTTATTCATCATTGAAGTTTTTTACCCAATGGTACAAAAATTATCAGACTAGTCAAAACATATTATAGTATTACAACTTATAAAACATTATAGAGCTCACAAGAAAATATGAAAAACTCACAGACAGTGCATCAAACAGTGAGGTACTCCTCTATTGTATAAAAAGTATTTTCATTGAGGTAATTGAATAATGTTGTTTTGAAGATATTAAAATTTTTTATCTCACCAAAGATCCTATTGAAACGGTTATAACATAGAATTCCTTGGTATTTTGGAAAATTCTGTCCCACACTAAGCCTAGAGAATGATAAGCGAATGTCATTTTTATTCCGTGTTTGGTGTTGGTGAATTTCACTACTTTTCATGTAGGTATCTTGCTCTTTTTTAATATTCATAATTAGAAGATAAATATAAAGTGATGGTAAAGTTAGAATTGACAGTGACTTGAAATAAGCTTTACAAGATACATTATTTCGAACTCCCATCATGCATCTTATGATTTTCTTCTGAGCAATGAATACTTTATCAATATGTGTTGAAGTACCCCAGAAGATCAAGCCATATGTGACTGCCGACGACACTAGTCCATGATATGCCATTCTGAGAACCTCTATAGATACAGTGTCCTTCAGTTGTCTGATAATAAAATTGATACTACTCAATTTCCCTACCAGATTTTCGATATGAGTTCTCCATGTCAGTTTCTCATCAATTGTTACACCCAGAAATTTTATGTTTGATACTTGCTCAATTGACTTATGATTTATTTTAACAAGAGGGCTTGCGTCACTGCTGATATTTTTTTGTCAAAAAACCCGAAGAATGTTTTGGAAGCATTTAAAATCAATCCATTATTCAGGCACCATTGATAGGATTCCTCAGTGCATACATTGCTCAGATGAATGCTTTTGTCCAGATTATCTTGTGATATCATACATCATACTACACTGGCTATTCAATCTTTCTATTGAAAAAGGAATATTCCCAGAATTTTGGAAACAAAGCTATATCAAACCAGTTCATAAAAGTGGACTTCGTAACAATGTTAAAAACTATAGAGGCATATGCAATCAGTCAGAGTTGCCCAAAATGCTGGACTGTCTAATCACTAGAAAACTTTCATTAGATTTCAGAAACATCATAATCAATCAACAACATGGTTTTACCAAATGGAAATCAACTTCTACGAACTTATTACTTTATGAAAACTACATCATAAATAATCTTGAAAATAGGCTACAAGTGGACTCTATATACACAGATTTTTCTAAAGCCTTTGATAGAGTCAACCATAACCTACTGATTGCTAAGTTGAATGCCTTGGGTTTAGAGGGAGATGTTTTAATTTGGATTGAAAGCTACCTTTACAATAGAGTTCAATACGTTAAATATGGCAACTCTATATCTGAACCGATAAATGTGCCATCAGGTGTTCCTCAGGGATCCCACATAAGCCCATTACTGTTCAATTTATTTATCAATGATGTCTCCACTGTTTTTAACTCCAGCTCATTTCTAATGTTTGCAGATGATTTAAAGATGTTCAAATCAATACAAAATATATCAGATGCTCAGGCACTTCAATGTTATTTGGTACAGTTTTCTAGCTGGTGTGACGTCAACCTTTTGCATTTGAATCCAAATAAGTGTCAAAAAATTACTTTCTCAAGGATCAATAATGTATATGATTACTCGTATAAAATCAATGGGAATGATTTAGCAGTAACAGATAAAATAAAAGATTTAGGTGTCGTTTTTGACTCAAAAATGTCATTTAAGTACCAAATAACGGAAGCCTCATCTCGAGCCCGTAAGATGTTAGGTTTTACACTTCGTTCTGCTAGAGACCTAAGTGTCGAATCTATAAAACTGATTTATTGTGCACAAGTGAGATCCATTCTTGAGTGTAACTCCATTGTATGGTCACCCTATTATAATGTTGATGTTGAGTTGTTAGAGGGGTGTCAAAACAAATTCTTGAGATATGTTGCTTTTCAGTTAGGATTAAATAGAGGAGAGTATAACTACTCACAGATATTAAACATATTGAACATGAACACCTTAACTCATAGGAGACTTGAAACAGATCTTGTGTTTGTCCACAAAGTATTAAACGGCTATATTGATTCTCCATAGTTGAGCTTTGTACTACTCTCTCTGTGAATGATAGAAGAACCAGAAATAGTAATATTTTTAAAATTCCTTTTTGTAGATCCAATTATGGTAAGAATGAAACAATATGTAGGATATTGAAATCAGCAATTCATTACTATCTTAACCTGGAATTGTTTAATTCATCATTATTATCCTTCAAAAAATCGATTAAAAACATCTGATGTATCTTTAGTTTGTAAGCACATGTACAATTTATAAAAAGATATTTGTAAAAATTGGCTTGTTCCTTGAAATAAATAAATAAATAAATGATTTGTATCATCGGCATAAATTATGGTTTTTTGCGGGGAACCACATGATCAAATCATGTCATTAATAAATATGATAAAAAGCAGTGGACCAAGTATTGAACCTTGTGGTACACCCATAGAAACATTGGTCGACTTTGATTTGAATGAATTCATCATGACAATCTGACTTCTATTTTGTAAATAGGAAGAAACCCATAATAATAATAAACAATAACTCTTTATGACAGTTTCAAAGATATTTAAATTTTTATATAGTCAAGTCAAAATATCCTTTATTGTCTGAAGATTCATATCTTATTGACAAAGCTTGGTTAAAATAATTGAATAAAAAAACAAACAAACAAAATTACACATATTAACTATCGCTACTTAGTCATATAAAACTATAAAATAATATACAATTTCAAGTAGATACTGAATATATGTATGTGTAAAAAAATAGGACTTGAAAAGATAACAGAAATAGTTTGTAATTTTAGCACAATACAACACTTTAGGAAAATAGCCAGTAATAATGTATTTTGAAAATTTCCAATATTGATTACATGAACTGTATTGAGAGTCAGACACAAGTCAATCAATCAATCATCCTTTATTGTTCAAGAAATCCTTATTGACAAAGCTAGTGAAACTTTATGAAGTCAACAATGTTAAAGTTTTTTAAAAAAATATTAAAGTTATGATGAAGTAGCATTCAGTAGCACTTGTGCTAAGTGAGTTGAACTTTGCCTTTTATTACATCAGCAACTAGCTCTGTTATTTATTAAAATAATTGTATGTAACTACAGCTGGGAAACAATAAAGACGATTATTATTATATATAGTGAACAATCATTATATGTTTAAAAAATATACAAATACGAATACACATAAATAAAACAATATATAAACAATCAGTTGTTTCAGAGATATTGACAATATTATTTTAATAAACTTTGAGATCGAATAAAATTCTCTTGAATTTACTGTGAAGTAAAGGGCTAGTAGGAAATTCAGTCGACTGCAATTTAATCATTAGATTGTTCTCTTCGGTGTCTAAAGATCCTGAAGGAAATATTCATTTTCAAAAATAATATTTCAATGTGTTTTAATCTTTGAAATTCAGTCGACTGCAATTTAATCATTAGATTATCCTCTTCGGTGTCTAAAGATCCTGAAGGAAATATTCATTTTCAAAAATAATATTTCAATGTGTTTTAATCTTTGAATAATAAATGTTTTCAGCCTTTTCCGAAGCTAGGTTGAACCTGCATAAACAAAAGCATGATCCTAATGAGATCCAATGCCCGGTGTGCAAGTTAGCTTTCACCACCTCACAAACCCTAGGAACCCATATTCGTGCGACGAGACACTATGTCAAGCCTGGCAGAGTCAGCTCAGACTGCCAGTATTGTATGAAGAAGTTGCAGTCTGCCATCAGACTCTTTACGCATATCAAAAACGCACACTTGAAAGAAGCCAAGCGAGACGGGATAGTGTGCTTGGAAGAAAATGACAGAATCGAACACTTAGAAGAAGCGAAAGACGAAGAACAACCTAGCACTGATGAATATATCGTTCCGGAGATCTTACCTGATTCCGGAATACATAAAGATAAGGTAACAGTGAGAAAATTACATAAAAGTCATATATACTGTATATAATGTTTTTGAAACAGGTGAAAATAATATCGAACGTGAAAGTTCCTCCTAATCGTCAATCTGCAGACAATGTTCAGCAAACCAAAGTCATACCCTTAGAAGCCAGTTCCGAGGCTGAATCGTTGAACAATGTTGCCAGTGGAATCGCCACTAGCCTTGGCCTTGTTGACATAGTGGTCCTTGACGAAAACCAGCAATATATCCTACAAGATGGGCAACACGAGCAGACAGAGTTCATTATTCCGGAGTTGTCTTCTGGACAGTCTTTTGCCGGGCAAGTCATAACAACCCAACACAATTCTTCAATTCCTCAAGGTAAGTCGAAATGTCTTTTATTAACTGCCCCCTTTTGATATTATTGAGATTAGTTTTCAGCCATATTTGAAATAATTTTGAATATTTATATTTATTTCAGTATTTCATTTGAGTTTTGGTTCATATTAGTGAGGTTAGGAGTTACATTTTCATCCGGATCTATCATTAGATTTTTATAAATAAATCTTTTGAAAACACTTTTCCTTCAACAGAATGAAAAACTGTCTCTTGACGCATATTTCGCTGACCAAGTTTTTAATAACTTTATCTAAACTTATTTTAGTTGATTTTAATTTTTATTAGTGAAAAAAAAACAGTGATTATGACCACGTTTACACAGCACCTCAAAGGAAGTTTTTCAACAGCCGATGTTACTAAAACCAATGATAATGCCTATGTCAAAACCATTTTCATCGAACGTTATTGAACCATTATAATAACTAAACTATTTGAAAGAGTATTTATTAGGGTTAGGAAACCGTATTGGTTGAATCCTGTAAATACATATTTCAAGCAGTGTAATAGTATAGTGACATTGAAATTCCTCAGAGTGGCTGGAAGTGAAGTTACTTTGAAATTGATCTTGAGGGAACAAAAACAAAAATCCAATTGAAAGAACAGTAAATCCGGACACAATAAACAATTATTTTTGCTTTATTGTTGAGTCTTTGACAAGTAAAGTAGGTAATACACTCATTTCGTGTTTTTAATTTGCTAATAAAGAGTAATAATAAAATGCTTTCAACTTGTTGAAGGCATTTAGAAGAATGTTTTATCAGAGAAAAATAGTTCTTAGAGACAATAAAAGGAATAGGAAACAAAACGTTAGGAATAGAAAATCCCTCAATGAAATTTTTTGAATGCCTGAAATGCTTAATCATTTAATTAATGTGTCTTTCAGTCGAAGCATTTTTCTTTATTTCCTGAAAATTTCAGTGGTCATACCGATACACAAAGGTGATCGGGATTATTCTTCAAATCACTCATTCCGGCTTTAGTGAAATTAATTGAGAAACTTGTCAAATCACCATTGAACAAAAATCTTTTTCTGAATATGATCATAAATTCCCATCACCTCAGATTCCAAGAAGGAAAAAGAATCACTGATGCAATATTTTAATTTCAACCTACCTAATTTAATCTACAACAATGTGAACAGCAGCGGTGTCCTGTGATTCATTAAAATCTTTTGACTGTGTGAACCACAAAATACTGCTTGAAAAGCAATACCACTATGAAGTAAAAGAGTATAATTTGTTTCGATTCGAATCTTACCTTCAGTATTGGAAAAAATGTTAAAAGACCACTGGATGTGAATACAGGACTACTCCTAAATTCTATTTTGGGGCCTCCGGGCTCATTTTTTTTGTTTGCAGATGATATTACATCATCAGGCATAACAATAAGAGAGATCTCTACATAAATTTTCCGCGATCTCAACAAATAAAGAATTGGTTTTATGCAAAGCTATTGTCTTTTAATAAAAGAAAATTACTTTCATATGCACAACACTTCAATTTATGCTGGGAATTGACGCTATTCATAATAACTACAAAATTCTTAGGCATAAATAGATCAAGACCTAAAATTAGTGGAACATAATATTAGAGCATTTAATAACAAATTGTCATCGTCACTGAGAATAGTGACGTACTAGTTGGAATTTTATGTAACTAAAAATGCTTATTATGCCATGATCTGTTCACATTTAAGATATTTTTATTTTGATTGTCAAGTTGGCGGGAATTCGGTCAAAATGTTGAAGAAAACCAATTTCTGAATTGTCGACGTTTTGAAACTTTGTTTCATCTTCAGCACTATTTAGGGCGGCTTTCCGAGTTGAAGGGTGAAGTGAATAATTTCAACATAAAATATAAATACGTACACAGGTTCCTGAAAGACGTTGACACAGACACGAAGGGATTAACAATCTCTCTATTTTTATTCACGTAAACAATTCTTTCTTGTTCTCAATTGCACCCTCCTGGTGTTATTTTTTTTCTCGATAAGAAGGTATCTTCATATATATTTGAAAATTACATTTCAATTCATTATCTTTGCATCTTCATGGCAATTTTGTGTTTTTGATTTTACCCAATTTTTAAAATAAGATTAGGACAATTTTTAGTAATATTTACCCATTAATGACTATGCAACCATAAATCCCCTTCAATCACTACTAAAAAACAATTAAATTAATATTTACAGGTATAATTCAAACGTCAGGGTCAGATATAGGATCCACTGATGAACTTGTTATGGTGCTAACTGATCACGACTACCCCGACGAACAAGAAATGGTTCACCAAGATAATTCCAACATCGTTGTTTTATATAGTCATCCCGTGGAAGGGCAAGAGGGACAGTTCATTACGTCTCAAGTAAGCGTAAGAGTAGTTTGTGAATTCTTTGATATTTCCCGTACTATTACAATTAAAAAAAGATGTATAATTTGGAAGTTTAGAAAATTCATGAAATGCATTTTTTGAGATTTCCATGTATTTTGGAGTTATTTTATCAAAAAGTTGCAGGGAAAAGAGGTTTTACCTCTTCTCATTTCTTTATTTTCCAATATGTTCAAATTTCTGTTGGGATTATCGAAAATTTATTATGATTAGGAAACATTTTTCCATTAAAATTTATATATATTTTATTTTTAGGGAAATCTCCTGGTGAANTACATTTTAAAAATTGTGATAATTTATTTGATTTCTTTTTTGTTTCCTTTTATATTTACTGTTTTGTTTTATTTTAGTTAGTAGTTCTTAAGCTTATTTTGTTATTGTAGTTTTATCTTTCTTACTTTTAATTACAATTGAATTACATTGAAAAATCTGAATTAAAAACTGAAGAAAACATGAATAGTTTTCTATTTCGAGAGAAATACGAAGAATTTACGAAACAATTTTTAAAAAAATAAAAATGTTGAATGTTTTCAATTATTAATAATGGATACGACATCATTATACGAAATATTTTCATTATAAAATATAGTTGTTTTCAAATTATTTTATAGAAAAATATTCCTAACACGAAGTATAATAAAGAAAAATAATAAATTAATGGATGTAGCCGTTACTACGTGGTAGGAAATCATAATGAAAAATGAAACTTTCTATGTTTTTTACCACTTTGCCCTATACGGATATTTTCAAACTTTTACATTGAACTACTATCGTCAAATCCGTCTGGAAAGACCCCGTTAGTCCCCAGCTCGCACAAGTTTCGATTCCTAAGAGTTGTTGTTCCTAGAAGGGCGGCAGCTGGTTAACGGTTAATGTATAAGTTTGAAAATGTCCTTATAGGATGAAACTGCAGTAACGTTAGTTACAAATAAAAGTGGTAAAAAACAGAAATAATAATAATAATGTTTATTTTTTAAAATGCTACAATTATTTGTATAAAAAACAATTAGAACATGTAATAAAATGACGTCATGTAATAAAATCAAAAATAAATCATGAATTCAGTATTACATTCATTTCTATCACTTGCAGGAAACTGTTGAAGAAGAAAATCAAACTGAAACCACGGTTGCAGTTGAAGATGCCCATCAGACCGAAAGGGTTAGTGAATCTGAAGGCAGCGAACTTGAAGGGGTTGATGTACCTCCAGAAATATCTGAAGAATCCCAACAAATTATCATGAATGACCCGACGACACTCAGTATGACTGAAAACCTGAGTATGGAAACGGAAACAGACATGGAAAATGTACATGAGGAACAGAACAGTGAAGATGTACAACAAGAAAATGAACCGATGGAAGTCGATGGAAAATTGGAAGAAAGTAACGGAGTGAATATTCAACAGCAAACCATTGACAATGTAGAACAGAGAAATGAAGAACAAGAAAAGCCATACGAGCAAGAAGCGGATGAAAGTGTTGATACTGGAAACCCTGAAGAAAGTAAAGGTTAGAAAGAAACAAAAATATCTTGGTTTCATTTAATTTTTCTTGTTTGGCTGTTTCATAAATAAGTTACAATATTTTCACAGATCAAGCTGCAGATCCAGTCGAAGAAGAGGAGGCAGTTGACGAAGAGGAAGAAGTTGAAGAGGAGGAAGAGAGAGAGGAGAATGAAGAGTCAGTAGAACCAGTGACTTCTGAAGAAGTTAAAAGCCAAGAAATGGCTTCTACAAACAATCCAGACTCGCCGAGACAAAATCAGTCACACAAAAACCAAGATAAGAACCAGTTGGATATCAACAAAACAATACTAGATGACTGGGAAGATGAATCAGACTCACAACAAAGTGAAAAGCAAGCTGCCTCAGAGGTATGTTTTCAAATTGAATTTCAATTTTCAAACTCCTTCTAATCAGAAAGATGAGCTAAAAATATCACAGAAAAAAGCAAATACTCAAATATTTATTGTTTAGTTTTTAAAGGAGATTACTTTATTTTGGTTTTCTTGCCATGGAATTTATGTTTTAATATAAATGAAGTTTGCAGAAACTATGTCTCTAATATAAATGAGGGTTTCTCTGGACTTCCACAAGGAAGTCAATGTGGTTCTATTCTCTTATGATTTATGACAGTGACGTTAGATTTTGGAAAAACTCGTGGTTTTTTTGTTTACCGACGACCTGAAACTTTTTAAATTTGTCATTATTTGGTAGAGGTGTTACTCATTTTTCATGAATTTAAATTTGATGCTCATTTATAGATTTGAACTGTTGTAATTTTTCCAAAGGGTATAAACTACATTCAAAAACTAAAAAATATTTCAATGATCTCTTGAACGATAAGCTTGATTTTTTTGCATCATAATTTTTTAAAGTGTGTTTTTCCATGTAATCAGCTCTCCTCAAACAAATGACAACCCTCAAAACTTGTGCAAATGAGGTCATACATTTTAACATGTGATTTCAAGCATCGGTCAGACAATATGCTGTGCAAATAAAAAAAATCCACTGTTGGAATTGAATCAATGTTTGCATAGGGGTGGACTGAATGAATAGAATGGACCTTTTACGCTAATCGACTGACTACCTTCTAACTTATGGTAGGGGACTGAGGAAATGTTTGATTTCATTTAAATATATTCTAATGATATCTAGCCTGAAATATTGTTACGTTCACGCTATGGGTTTGACAATGCTTCTATTTGCCAATGGAAGTTTTAGGAAGCCGAAAGAATTATTCTTGAAGCGACTAGAAACACTACCGGCGGCCGGCCTTAGTAATTTTTCAAATAATTTCGATTTTTGGACATCAATTGGTTCATGTGATTTTTTTAAAATCCAATTTATTCAAAGTTGAACTAAGTTTTGGTTTTATTTGTGGAGATCATGCTTACATGTCTTTGTCTCCTCTTGAGATTCATAACTTTTCTTTACTTTCAAAGAAAAAGGTATTTCAGCCAAAAGTTGTTATTCAAAAAGTGAAAAATTTTCGTAAAATAAGTATATCAACATGAAACATTTATCAAACAACAATAAACCAGTTGAATAATAATGATAATGAATGCATGAAATGGTCAAATTTCTCATGTCAAAAATAATACCTTCTAAATTTGAGCATTATTATTCTAGTGATTATTGGAAAAAAAATTAAATTTTTATCAGTGGTGAGTTTGCTGAAATACATTTCATATTTGGGGTTGCTAATGAATATACATATGGATATCCAAACCTCAAAACTCCTATTGAAAAAGCGTTTTCAAAACTTCATTTTTGTTTTTGGGAAACAGAAACTTTTGAGAAAGTTTGTCCTCTGGTGCAAATCCTAGAAACTGAGGAAGCGGTTTTTAATCTGGTACGAGAACACCTAGAAATGAGCAAGAGAAAAGTAGCATTGTCATTGAAAACGTCCTATCTGGTATGGGAATGTTAATTGATCACTTTGTTCAAAATCTCTGATTTTGATTCTGAATCTCTGATATTTCAGATGGTTCTTCATGAAGGATTTTTCATGTGCATTTCTCAGGCATATTTTGCCAGTAGTATTTGTTTTTCATTGATCCATTTCCTGATCTACATCTGTACCTGGTTTATGTTTTGATTTTATTTTTATCTTATTCAGTGACATATTGTAAAACCCGTTTTTTTTCTTATTCATTTACTCATTTTTGATAAATAAATAATATTGAGACAAAATGATGTCGCAGAATCTTTCACACCTTATTAATACCTTATAAACAGTTGCTATTGTAAAATACCGTCACTAAGTCCAATATTTTTATTTTTTTTCAGGGAATTTACGCATTGAATATTCTCAGAGTCGAATGCAAACTAGATGAAATCGAGGGGATGTAGATGTTTGGCAACAGTACGATTTTGATTATCACAGTACTACCAGTTGAATGTTGAAATCGTCTGGTGTTGTCCCATAGTTGAACAATATGGATGATTTATTGTAAATAGTAAGATGAATCGAAGATTGGAATTGAATTCGGAAGGTTGCATATTGGAAAAAGTTTGCTTATATTTTGCCTATGATTTATTTATTACTATCTATTATGACATATTAATTTTTATACAGTACACAATTACAAAACATAGTGGTTTACATTGTTGACAAATGGGAAACAAATTTTTAGAGTTGTGGATATATTTCTTTTTTTTAGTTTTTGGTAGATTATATCTAAACAGTTTTATGTAAGAGTTTGTAAACAAATGTAATTTATTATATACATTACCATTTAAAGTTTTTCAATGTCTGATTATATTGTTGTGTCAAACCTGACAAAAAATTTCTTATTCATGTTGTTTTCGGAGGTTCCTAGATAAATGACATTCAGATTATCGGTTTTCTGTTCAGCCAGTCATGAAAATATTGGTATAGAACTTAATGATTGAAAAGGAATGTTGGGAATATGATGTATATACGAGGTAGGTTAGAGAGTTTGAAACTATTAAACCAAGATATGGAGATTAGGTTATGTGTGGCATTTATAACATGAATTTTTAAAAATCAGTCGGATTCCTACTATATCACTGATTTTTTACTGAACATTTTCTCTATGATTTCCTTGAAATGCTTTCCCTAGGGCGCGAATCACATGAACGTAAATTTTCATGACTCGTAATCATGCCATTCACCTCAGTTGGAGTTGGTAAAGCTGGAATTATATTATTGTGTCGTGACGCGCCACAAGTATATCGTATCCATACATTTAGCATGTTTAGAATTATATTACTAAGTCGGGTGTCGGGACGGCGATCGGTCAATTCCCGATCGGCGTCAGAACGATGGTGGGGTTCTGACGCGTCAGAACACTCCACACTAGTATGTTTCTAATCTGACGCGTTAACTAGCTAGAGAATAGTCGTTTGCATTTATTTGTGCACAAAATGATGGACGAACTTATTGAACTTGTTAGAAAATACAGATTCTCATTTTTTTAATATCATTTTCTATCATACTCTACTTGAATTGATTTTTTGACATCCTGAAATATTGATGAAATCTTTCTTCATCACTAGTAAATGATATTCGCTTCAACTACCTCTCAGATCATTTACTGGATGAACCCAATATTTCCTTTTTTCTTTTATTTTTAAGTAATCTTTTCATTAGCAGGCACGCAAGGTTTTCCTGAATATCACTATCCGAATCGGAGGAAAGCATTGTAGATTCTCGCATGCTTTTACTCCAGAGGCCACCACTGTATTGGCTCGAAATAACGTCAGAGCGCGCCCTGACACGACAGAAAGTCTGCACACTCGCCGTCACGTCAGAGAGCATAACAACATAATAATGTAATTCCGGCTTAAGAATTCAATAAGGAACAGAACGCTGAGGTCCAAGTGATAGTGCCAACCAAAATCGTCAATATGAAATATTCTGTTTTAGAAAACCAAAAACATACGAAATAGTCATGCCACTGATATCCCCTTTTCATGAATGAATAAGATGAACATATTGATCGAATTTTATTACCGTCCTTCATGACATCTCTTGTGTGAAACTAACTTGGATGTGATGAAGAAAGAAACTATCAATTAAGTAATGGATTTGTCCGAAAAAAATATTTGAAAGTGAATGTATCAATAACATTTTTGATAAATTTTACTTCGAGGGAAACAGCAGGTATAAAACAAATTCATGTTATTAGACTGTTATTCTTAGGAGTCGTCAAGTCTTCGTTTTTGGGGACTAAACGGTCCGCCTTTCAATGAAAGAATTTTGAAACCTTCAGCCAGAGCCATCGATGACATGAGTAGATTTAACTAATTCGTGAAATAAAAGTCGTAATTTTATGAGTGCTTCGTTTTGTGATGTTATTCAGATTGGTGCTGAAGATGCAATAAAGCAAGTGTCTTATTCCGAAACATCAGATGACAGTATTCCATGCAAGTGAAATTTTGTCTGTTTCATATACTATATTGTGTATCAATCATGTGAATATCTTGTTCAATTCCATAAGGAATGTTTTGAGTACAAATTGAATAGGAAAGTGTTTTTTGTATAATTCTGTGTTCATATAAAAGTAGTTGATTCAAGAGGGATTTTTCTTTCAGTTTGTGTCTGAAAGTTACTTCTTTGCATGATCCACACCTTTTTGTAGAGTTGAATTTGAAATCAATTGCTTTATTCCTTTCTTTAGAAAATGGAGAAGAAGTAGAAAGCCAAATCCTTTTTTTCCCAATTATATTTATTTCTTTTGAAATAAATAAATAGATTTATCTGGCCTGAAGAGTTTACACATAAATAAGACACTTCAATTATGTGAAGAGTTTAATAAAATCACATCAAGGATCCTTGGAATGTATACATAATAAAATAAAGACTCCATTAACACCTTTCTCTCTGCATCTTCACATAAAAAGGGAAACATTGATACACCCATGTCAGCTGTAAACATAAAAAAATGGATACTTCACAATTAAAACCTGTGTGGGCAGCCAATACAAAGCCAATAAAGCTGATCTATAACCATAATAGATCTTTAAAACCAGATACAAATTCCTGTTTGCTTCAATTCGAGCTGTTACTAGTCTCGCCTTCTGTTTTGCCAATATTCTCTATTGTATCTAGCATATGTTGCCAGTAATTGGCTCTTACTTTGTCATATGTATTGATCAATTCCTCACAAATTTCTTTTGCTCTTTCTTTAGTATATTTGCAATCTCCCCCACCTTCAGTGACTTGTTCGTAGCACATGTCAACAATGACTGCAAGAAGAAATGGAGATCGGTTTCCTGATTTGTACAATTCCTCACAGAAATCTGTCACTTTTTTATTTTTACTGAGACCACCCTTGTCATGAAGTAACAATCTGCAAAAAATGTATAGTTGAAACAATATAATCAATGCAACAGAGTTACTAAAACTTTAACCTTCCACTACTTTATAAGCTCTTGGGTCAGACTGACCCACACAGTTACTTGTGATTTCTCTATTTTGTCTTTCAAAAAAAAAAAATCACCATTGTTTATTGGCAGAATCTACATGAAAACGATTCAATTCACATGTCACTTTCAAGTTTTTCAATAAACCTAATTTAAATCAAGGTTTTCAACAGTGTTATGGTCATAATTGGAGAAAGAACAGATGATGTGATTCTGAATAGAAGACTGAAACCATTTTGCCCTTTCACACAAAAGCAATACGCCTAAGTAAATCAAAGATTAGTTGAATTCTGTTTATGGGGACTCTGCACCATTATTTGCCACATTGAAATTTTCCGACAGCTGAATTTCAACGTGGCCGTAAGAGGTTGGGAGACGATGAACGTTCGGGAAGCCCAAAAACTGCAACTACCGACAAAAACATCGCCAAATTTCATCAAATAGAGCTAGACGACCGCCGAATTAAAGTGAGACAGATAGCAGAAGTTATGAACATATCAAAAGAATGTGTTTGTCATATATTAAATCATCATTTAGGCATGAAAGCTGTTTGCGTGTTAGATGCTCACGTTGGACCAAAACGTGTTTGAATGAACATTTCCAACGATCTGTTGGGGCAGTAGGCGCAATAAATTCGAGTTTTGGCGCCAAATACCTACTGCAGATTAAACTTGGATAAACCATTATACACCCGAAATAAAAAAACAGTCCAAACAGTGGACTGCAAAGGGGAACAAGCTCCAAAAAAAGCAAAAACTATTTTTTTCAGCTGGGAAAGTGGCCACAAGCTGAAGGTAGAACTTGCGGAAAAACGGCCAATTTGCAGAAAAAAAATCCTGTTTCACCAAGACAACACACCATCTCACACCTCATCGGTTGCCATGGCGAAAATCCACGAATTACGGTTTGAACTGCTTGACTATCTGCTTTACTCACCGAATCTGGCCCTAAGCGACTTCTTTTTGTTCCCCCATAAAAAAATTGTGTTCTGAGGACAGATATTTTCGTCAAATTAAAAGGCAATCACCTTCATGAACAATTATTTTGTAGAGAAAAACGCCGAGTACTATTCGAACGGGTTACAGAAATGAGAGCATCGCTGGGATAAGTGTGTAGAGTTAAAAGGAGATTATGTTGAAATACAAAATCTGAAAAATTGTTTTGTATCTTTTAGGTTGGAAATTTTTCATACCACCTTGGTATACTCAAAGCACAATTTTAGAGAAAGCAGACAAAATGTTTAGGAGAATCTTCTTATTGCAAGACAGTAAATGTTCAGATAATTACATGTTATTTATAGTGTTACTTGTAGAATGTAATTCAAAAGGCTAATTTATGGATTTATTTTCTACGATTAATCATTCAAAAAATATTCTGGAAATTTACCCTCTCAAATAATTCCAAGCACTTTCATTTTCAGTAACAGTTTTAATATGGAACAGAGTATACTGAATTTCCCTGTTCAGAACTTCTTCTGTGAATCCAGTAGTATTATTTATAACAAAATATCTTTGGTTCCAAGCTGAATTATTTCTGACATCATCTGCTATCAGGGTATCCACATAATCCAACTCGCCTTCATAAAGGCTGTAAAATAAAAAATCTAGTCACGTTCAATAAACTGAAATCTTCAATGTTGTCTCATTTGTTAATCCATACAGTAAAACTACTAGCAGTTTAGTTACTTACTTGAATGTTTTTATAACCCACTGTCTATGCTGCCATGCATGATAATTTTTAGCGTCTTTGGCCAATACAGCTTCAGTTAGATATTTTTCTTTAGATGGGTCTTTCACCATTTCCACAAGAACTTTCCTGTGATGCCACACCTGATAATTCTTTGATTGTTTGAGGATAATTTTTTCAATAAAATCCAATTCTTCTTGGATATCTTTATTGAGCCCTTTCAATATGTCACGCCTAAAAGTGAAACAGTAATGAAATGTTTATCTAACTAGTTGACATATTGTGCCACAGTATCAATATATATGGTCAATGAATGACTAAAAGAAAATGAACATCATTATAGGTGAAAAGTTAACAAGTACATGCGGAACACATACACAATAAACTCATGATAAACTTGAGAAAAAGGAAGCTTACCGATATTGCCATACAGTATAATTGGCAGGGTTTAGATGAGCCGCAGTTTGGGTCAGTTCTAAGGCTCTTTCACTTATTTCTTTATTCTTCAATACTGCTCGAAAGTAGTCATAGCAATCAACAACTGGAAGAGAGTACAATACTTAATTTTCAAATCAGAACTCCTATTATGTGAAATAAATATTCGATTGAAGTTCTTCGAATGTTCTACCACAGATTGTGTTTTACTATCTGGGATTAACGAGGTCTTAATGTGCGATCCCTAACACGGGTTTGACAATAGGCAGTCTAACCTCATGGCACTAACAGCCGTTGCACCTGACGGTCGATTGAATTAGTAGATCAAACCACTCACACCAACCCAACCGGCTATCGTCCCACCACACTTGTTTTAATACAATTCTTATGCCAGATATTACAAGAACAAATGTCTAGTGATAAACACGGATAAGTATAAGAAACAACAGTCAAGATTCCTTGTCCTTGAAAATAATCCTACAAGAATCATGATACTTGATATCGAACATATATGAATGATTCATTTTTGGCTCATGTATAACTGATACCTGACACTGAACTATAATATTATGAGAGTAGGGTATATTTGTTAGAGGGATGAAAGCTGGTTGGTTCGCATAAGATATTCATTCTAGTCATTCAATTAACCCCTAAGTGGAATAATGGTAAGAGCCTGACAATTGATTTTCACTATACCTTGTCCAACACATGCTAGGAATCGCACATTTGAAGGTACGACCTTGTTAATCCGTAGATCGCTCAAGTTTTGATTACTTAGGGTGGTTGGAGTGATAACTGGTTAACTGATAAACAGAATTTATCTATACAGAAGTGTGATTTCACCTTCAGTACATATTTGAGAGTTATTAAGACTTTGAATGTCAATGGCGAATTCAAGTATTCGTTATATCTAGCTACAGAATCATATTTTTGTCAATATTGGTAGTAATGTGATTGTAAATTATGAATTGTTTGTTTTTTTTCAGTTGAAGTTTTGGATATCCTTATCGGAATACTAATCAAATTTTATAATTATAATCTTGTTTCATATTCCCACAACTAGTCTACATTTGAAATTTGATATTTCATAGAATTTCAAGTCAAAAGTACATGTACATGTGTACCTGGCAATACATCTGAATTAATAATATTCAGAAGTTAGTGTATCTTTATGAATAAACTTGGTTTTAGTGGTAAAAAATGTGGTGTTATAATATCTAATAATGGTAAAGATAGGATGTAATCCAATTATTTATTATACCACAGAATCCCAGACTGCCAAAATAATCTGCTAGGAAGTTTTGATTCACAATTTCAAGTACTATCGTCAGGTTAAATGCTAAAGTAATGACGTACTCTCTTTTGGTCATTACAAATACAGCTTATCAACCTGTAGTGAGAATTCTCAAGTTCTCTAGATTTAACCATGCTGTACATATATTTTGACCTCAGTCAATAGTCTCGGTTATAGTCAGAATGAAAACCATGTTGATAATCATTAATTCAGTACAGAAGTCTTGAATTCTATTTGGTACTAGTTTTTTTTTATTACTATAGAGAAGATGCTCAACAGAGCTATTGGTCTCCAGTTTTCAATATTTGTTAGATCGCCTCTAGCGATTGTTTGGTGGGTAGGAATGCAGTGCTTTTAAATATATCTGGAAATGTTCTGGGGATACATTTTTGGGAGGCGATTTGCTAAAACATGGGTATATTCATGATAAATTTAATGGGAATTTCATCAATTAGTATAGAATTTCTTATTTGGTAATGAAGAAATGGATACTGTCTCCTGGACATTTTTCTCTGCGATATATTCTTCAATGAAGAGCATTTCAAATAATAAAAAAAATAGGTTATGTTGACTTACAAATCTCTGTATAATCAATTGAAACAATACATTCTCCCCCGTCGTCTTGTTTCACAGGTGTTACGTCTTTCCATTCTGGCCTATCTCTATATAATTTATAATCTGAATCACATTCATCACTACTGCTACCATCACTCATTTTTTCAAAAATGAAAAATATTTGAACTTTACGTAATAAAATTTGATTTGTTTGTTCTGCAAGTAACTATAGATGATTAATTGAGATGATACATATAATAAAACGTGTGGTATAGTCTAAAACTTAAAAATAATTCCTCCAAGCAAAACACTACACTAGAATCTTTTTTTTAGGGGATTTGTATATTCGCACTTGTCACTCTTGGCAGTACAGACACAGAATAGTTTACTATTCTGTGGTACAGATAGTAGGTTTGTTCGTTTAACACAAATCTGAGCGCTCGACTATATAGCTCAGGAAGCGTTCGATAATACAAATCTGTTGCAAATAGTTGTAAAAAATGTTTGCATTTTAAAAAAGAAATTATGATCACGTGGCATCAAATCTGCATCTGCTCGCTCGGCTCCAGATTTTAAAAATCGAATACACCTATTGAGGTTGACGGAAGGTCATTATTATTAGTCCAGAACATAAATGTTATTATATCCTTGACCCGGAAGTCACGCAAGTAGTTGTAGTGGTAATGTTGGGTGTATCGTAGAACTGAAACCATAAATGTGCGGTAGGCTCCTGTTGCTGAGCCCGTTCGTATATGTTATTTTCTGTTTTCGATAACCAAGTATTGCCCATCTTTGCACTTGGCTGATGTGGCCAATAGCCAGAAACACGTGTCCGTGGTTTGCCCCTCCCCACTTTCTAGACTGCTGCTCCGTTTTCTAGTTGTTATGATGATTATATTTGGGAACGCCATAACAGTCACAGACATGAAATCTGTATATTTTGCAAGCAGTGAGCATTAACCTGAAGGTATTTTCACAGACTCACAAAGTTCAATTCTGAGTTTTGTGGAAAATATTTGTCGGTTTGGATATACTTGCCTCAGCATACTATAGACACAAGGGTAAAGTTGGCTATAGTATGTCTCGTAAATCTCATTTCAGAAACGAAATATAACCCGAAGTATTTACTTTCATCTAAGGTAGATAGTTTATTGTTCTCAACAAAAATTTCAATAGATTTTTGGGCCAAATAACATAAACACCGATTTTTTTATTCAATTTTAATTTGGGTGGAACCCTGGGGTACTCCTTTCGACACAGGTAATAATTCTGAAACTTCACCATCTGTACTTAAACTCTGACAGCGGTTTTTAAAGTGATTCTTCATCAAATCACTTGCAGCAAAGAAGCCTAATTCCTGACACAGTATATTATGGTCAAGTTTTGTTGAAAGCTTCACTATAGTCTGGTAAAATAAGACAAGTCACTTCACCTTCATCAACAGCTCTGTAGATATTATCTGTCACAGCTAAAAGAGCAGCGGTTGTGCTGTGCTGTTCTCTGAATCCAGATGGTGCAGATTTAATACTCGTATTATGGTGCTGTTCAAAGAATGTTATTAGGCTGTTTCAAAGGTTTCGTCCGTTTTAATGTCATCTGTTTTGAAACTTCATATCTCAATAGATATTTATTCTACTCTGTCGTGGTACATACTTATCGATAGATAATTTTGTACTCTATACAATGATGCTGTAAATTTTTTTCCAAATTCCAATTTTTTGCCTTTTTGCGTAGAATGGCGGAAGAACTGGGCGTCAGCTCCCATGCGGTTTTTGATGGTTTAAAACGTAATGGAAAGTTCAGAAAGCTCGAAAAGTGGGTGCCTCACGATTTGAACGATCGATAGAATTTATCACATTTCGAGGTCTGTTCTTTTTTGCTTTTGCGCAACCAAAACGATTCTTTTTTGGATCGGATGGTCACGTGAGATGTAAAGTGGATTATCTACGACAGCAGGAGACGTTCAGGACAGTGTTTGGACACCAATGAGCCACAAATGCACTTTCCAAAGGCGAACACCCATCAAAAAAGACCATGGTTACTGTGTGGTGGTCAGCGGCTGATGTGATTCACTAAAACTTTCTGCAACCGGGCCAAACCATCACAGCAGAGTCCTGTTGTGACGAAATTGACTATATGTACCAATAATTGCGTCGGCAGCAGCCGGCACTGGTCAACAGAAGAGGTCCTATGCTGCTCGACTACAACGCCCGTCCGCACGTTCCACAAATCACTGTCCGAAAATTAAACGAATTGAGCGTTGAAGTTCTGCCTCACCCACCATACCCCTCAGACCTCTCGCCAACCGACTCCTATTTTTTCAAGCATTCCGATAACTTTCTCACCGGTAGAACCTTTGCCAATCAGGACCGGGCAAAATCGGATTTCGCCAACTCCATTGAATCCCGAGCACCTAATTTTCATGCTGACGGAATTAATCGACTCTTGTTACGTTGGCAAAAGTGCACTGGTTCAAATGGTGCTGATTTCGATTGAATTGAATAGGATTTCACTGAGATATTACAGTTTGAAGTAGACTCACAAAAGTAGACAACACTTTTGAAACAACCTAATATCTGACCTTTCATGACCTTTTCAAATGTGCCAAGGCTTTATTGTTTAGTTTTGGTGAATCACTGTTCGGGTGTAAGCGTTAGATGACCTGATGATACAGGGAATACTGTTGGGAAAGAATTTGAATCGGATATACTTTGGTTACTTCGTGGTCTATAAATGGATCCATCAGTAACTAGGGAAAAGAGGTCCATCTCGGCATGACACTGAGTGGATTTAGATTTATACAAATCCTTTCGCCACGAAGAATGAGGCGTCATTACAACATTCAGAACAAAGTTTGTTTGAAGGTTGTCGACAATGTTTCATGGTGAATTTCATCAGTTCGGACTTCCATTGACTAATCTAATATATAAAAATGGATGTTTGTTAGTTCGTTGGTTGGTTGGTTGGTTGGTAAGTGATAAACTTCTACATCGCTCAACCGATCGTGCTGAAACTTGACATGTATAAGTAATTTTTCATAGAGAAGGTTTTTAGGCTATCAATTTTTCTGTAACTCGCTACTAGATGGCGCTGTAGAACAATTTTTTGAAAGCACTGTTCTATAACGCTGCGCACGCCCAAGTTCGTTGATTCTGATTCTGTCAAAACATTGGAACAGTACGTATATAAATAAAACATTGAAATTTACAGTTAAAACACATGAAGATGAAAATAATTTGCCCACTATCTGAATCTTCAATTTTTTTTGAACACTTTTGATGTTTCACTTCCTTTGAGACTGTGATCCAGATCATCAAATGTGATATTCATATGTTATGGTTCATTATACGTTATTCTTCTGCTCAATTGGTCCGGAAATGAGTGATGGGATGATATACGTGAACTGTTGAAAAAATAAGGTGATAATTCAAATTTCGTGAGCTACGTACATTCGATTAGCAATTGTTTTATGTTGGTACAGTCGTCTCGTACATATGTTCACAGTTTCAGCTATTTAGCATGCTTGGTTTATTGGTAAGAGGCATACAAATTAGAAGTATTTTGCGTGTTCGGAGATTTTCAGCTACCGATAAAAATGGGCTGTAGAATTAGCACAAAATTTCGTGTAAAGAGTGGAGTTTTAATTATCTACGTCACCTCCACCTTGTAGAGCTCATCTGAATGGCATACTACCCTACAGATCATTGTCATTATCTAAAATTATCGGCACAAGATTAGACAAGTGATAAGGTACAATTCTGAAAATTACCTTTATGAGCAGCACTTGCAGCTTCTTTTAAGAATATAAAAATGTCTTTGGGTTCAAGAATATTCAACTTCTTTGTCTGCAGCCGTCGGTTACTTTTCTTGGCAACATAACAAGTTTACTGTATCTCTGAATATTTAATCACTTCATTTTTAACATTTTATTGATAAGTACACATTTTATTTTGAAAACTCAAAATTTTTTGTTTATCATTATAGTCGGCTTCAACATCGACTAACAAGATCATAGTAATGAGTGATGATGTTTTGACTTTTTTCACCTTATCAGCAATATAAGCTATATTATTTGTCGTAAATTAATCTAGACTTTTCTGACAGTAGTTTGGAGATTCTTTTTGAAAAATTATATAACTTCAGATTAAGCCAAATGTTCAATAATAAGAATACATCTTCAATTTCCCCCCTTTTGCTACATCTTCTTTATACAAGTAATTCTTGGTCAACTGCGCCGCAGGGAAGCAAAGGCCATAAAAAAGAGAAGAAGAAGTAATTTAATTTCATCTTAATCTTTCACAGTACCTCTTTCTCTAATGTAATCCGCAAGGTATCAAGTAGCAAAGTGAAGGCATGGTCAACTAGTATGATATAAAATGATTTGAAATCCTTGAAACAACCAATACAATTGTCATCGGTTCATCACCCGAAGACGATTGTAGTGTCCGACCGAAACTGGTTTTTACGGCCGAAACCGAAACAGAATCTCGGCAACGGTCTCAGTTTCGGCCGAAACCGAAACTTCCTTGCAAGGATTATGTTTTGAGGGAAAAATTGGGAAAACGTTATTATAATCAGTTAGTGTTTATTTTTTTATCTTCAAATTACAACGTTATGCAGTCTTCGACATTTTTACTTATTGATAATCAACAAATCAACATAACAACCCCTTATTTGAGAAAAAAAATACTTGAAATAGGTGTGGTGCTTATTTGAATATTTTTAATGGTTTTTCAAAAATATTAAACATAAAATTACTTATTTAAGTTGTTACCTAATATCACAATAGGTACTTAATAGGTAATAAACTAAGTAAATCACAAAGTAAGTCACGAGTCCCGACATGATTAGGCACATTCAGGCACATGGGCGCGGCAAAATGTGTTCGTCGCTCGGATGAAATTCTTCATGCCGAACATGACAGCGCGAGAACTCCCGAATGCAGTTTCGGTTTCGGTCGTAGTTTCGGCATGTTTGCCGCCGAAACCGAAACCCGTTTTTTTGCCGAAACAGAACTTTCGGTCGGACACTAGACGATTATGGATACTAACAATCGAAACGTCGTGAAGTAACTTGGCTTGAAACCTCGTAATTTTAATTTTCTTTTTTTTCAATTGTATTGTTTCTTTCAGGGATTTCAAATCATATATTATATTAGACAATGGAAGTCTGAAGTAATGAAATTCAGAACAAAGTTTGTATATCAAAAAATCTAAAATGCGTTAATAAAGAATTATGGGTTTTTACAACTACAATTATTTTTGAACGTTCAAGTGACATATTGCAAAAACATTTTCAACATTCCACCCATTCGTAGAAATTTATGTCATATCGCACGCACCTCGCCCATTCCGGATGACACAAATAATACAACAAATT